AATCCTGCGACTTGAGCGAGTGTGTCCTGCGGCTGTGCAAGGTGAGGATATCACGCTGCTGATCGGTCAGCGCAGCGCGAGCATGCACATGGCGAGGGAAGACGCGCATGACAAGAGGGGTCACATTTCGCTGCGCAGGGGGAGGAATGAAGTGCTCATGAGACGAGTCGACGAGAGCGCGCAAACCAGGGATGTGTACCACAGATGCCGGGGGGCGTCCTGCGTCATCAGGCACAGCAGCCGGGGCAGGTGGGATCGCCGCGCCATCTGCAGCCGGTGCAGGAGCCTTGACACGACGGTAGAGGATCGCTCCAGCATTATGAACGAAGTCGTGCGCCTCAACGAAGAAGGTCGCCAGAGGATGCTTCTGGGCACGGAGAGATCTCGAGCAGTGAACGTCCAGGCTATGAGGAGAGGGCAAGGTCCGGGACATCGGCTGGTCAGAGTACCAAGCGAGGAAGCGAGCGATAGCCGTATAGTAAACAGCGGGGTGTAGACCCTCAACTATGCGGAAGCTCCCGCTTGAACCTCGCAAACTCTAGCAGGTCGGGATGCGCGGCGAGGTACTGCGAGGAAGGCCAGCGGTGGTATTTCTCAAGCGCCAGGTGGACAGAGAGGTCAAAGCGACGAATCTGTGATTGGACCCGCGGGAGAAACGGAGAAGACCCCTGGAGGAAGAAGCGCAGCTTCTGGAGATGGCTCGCCCTCACCAGCGTCTTGAACATGAAGCCATGCTGGACGAGCCCGAGCTTCGAGAGCTCTTCGTTGAGGGTAGAAACCTTCGCTCGGAGCTGACTAGCATGAAATCCATCCGTGCCGATAGGCAGGCCGCCAAGTGTAAAGAGATCAGGGTGTTGATGCCAGGAGGGGATGTAAACTTTCGACTCGCGAGGTTGAATCTCTAGCTTCAGATCAGCTAACATGTACTTCTTCATAGCGGACGTAGCTGCAACGGCATCCTCGAGTGGACCGACAAGCACGACGTTGTCAGCATAGGCCAAGACTCGAACAGAGGGAAAAAGCTCTGCGATATGGACCATGACTACTCCTCCTCGAGCGTTCATCCCTCTTGCCACCTCGACGGACGGTACCCATCGGCGCGGAGCTGGCGAAGCGTCTCCGTCCCTCACTGTGACGTCGGGTGCCTCCGGAGAGCTCGACACCACTGGGGTGCTTGCTGCTGGTCCGAGCTCGCCTGCTTCCTCCCCGGCATCGGTCGGGTCACGCCGGTCCTTGGGCATTGCCGCGGCGTCGCCGCCGTCACGGGCGGCACATAGGATTTACTGGCGGCTACTGCTGACTCGGCTACCGCTGACTCGGAGGCTAGCGAGGAGGACTACCTCGAGCGGTACCGTGTTCCTGTGTCCAGCCTCCCTCCGTCCGCTGCCCCAGGCGGACCCCCGGGCAGCGCCGGCTCCTTGTCGGCGGCTGCCCTTTCTCCGTCCGCCGCTTTGTGGCGGCAGCGGACGTCTCGACTGACAATGGAGTGGTCAGTCGGCTGCCTCCGGGTATCGCGTCTAAGGGATTTTATTCCTCCTGCATGCTCCTGCTGCTTGTTGCTTGATTGCTTGACCCTTAGGCTGCTGTTCCTGCTTTGTTTTGCTTGAGGCACTTTTTACCTTCTGCCAGTAAATCCTATGGCTATCTTAGGCTGCTTGTCTGCGCGGCTTCGCGCTTGGGCTGGCGGTGCCGCGTCTGGGTGCCAGCAGTGCTGGTTCTTTTCGGGCTTGTGTTTTGTGTGTGTTTGTGCAGCTTCTCGCTGTGCGCTGTGTGCCTGCCGGTTCAGCTTGTTCCTGCTTTGTTTTGCTTGGAGCACTTTTTCCCCATATGCGAACGGTAAAACTTCACTAGACACTCAGTGACTAGGCTAGGCTACCCGGTGACCGTGACACGGTGACAAGACCAAGGCCGACACTGTCGGATCCACATCCCTGGGATCTGCGATCCTGGGTCTGAGCAGTACGAGGGCTTGATGGCCGCCCGGCGGACAGGTCAATCTGGACGCCCTCCATGTTGCAGCGTCGGAAAAGGTTCGCAAACTTGGCTTGCCCCGGCCCCGGCCGGGCGGCGTTGCCACCGAACCGTGGCCGCGCTGGATAACGACTTCCTCTTGTAGCATTTGGTCGGCACTTCGTTATGCGAGTAAAACTCATTCGTTCCTGATGATGAACCTGCTCAGGCAGTGCTGACTCCGGGTCTGCTGAAGACTCGTACCGTACCACGTAGGCAGGCTCGCCCATATACACACACTGGCCGTAAACACTGCCGCATAAACAAGGTAGCTATCGTTCTGAGGGGGACCTGCATTCTGTCATTGACAGAAACAAAATGCGACCTACCATGCTGATCGACGGATCCAAGATGGAGGGAGGAGGGCAGGTAAGAGGCGTCATGGAGAGCGAAGAAGGGAAGGACAGAGTGGACGGATGAGATGTTGGATACGAGGAGCAGTGTATATTGTACTGCAGAGAGGAGCTGCGTTTGAGGAGACAGCAACGGAAAATAATAAGTTGTTCTTTTCCTTCAGGTTGTTCGAGTTGCGAGTGCAATATCTGCTTTGCTGGGGATTTCTATCAGAATCAACAAGATTCGTGCTGGTCGGTCCAAACCCGGGTTGGCGGCACAGCATGCGGCAGGGTTGAAGCTCGTGGCGGCTCTTTGCTCGGGGGTGCTGCAGGACTGTAAAATCGGAAGTGACTCTATCCTCCTGGAGCCTCGAAAGATTTCGAGCGGTACAAGTTTCATGGCAGGTTGCAAGCTCCATCGTTGTTGCTCTGCATGATCCACATCAGATGCTGTCACCGCTGGAAGCTGTACGCTCCTCCTGCAAAGTGTCCTTCCGTGCTGTGTGGTGCGTGACGATGAAAGGGCCATCCACGTGGTTTTGCGAGGCGGAACGAACGTTGCCTTCTCCCCTCCAATCGACTACACTATACACGTTGCTCTCCCCCTCATGCGGCGGCTCACAGGCATGGAAGCCTCCGTGTCTCTCAAGCGGCGAGGCTTCTTTCCTCGAGGAGGAGGTGAAATCACCCTCACTGTCAGTCCGAAGGAGCGTCTTGCTGCCTTTCGGATGCTGGAGAGGTGAGGCCACGTGTATGTGCTGGGTATGAAGAAGATGATGGAGCTGGCGGAGCAGAGGAGATGTTGTTGAGCTGCAAGGGATAGTGCTGGGGAGTGAACAAACGCTCAAGGAGCTTCAGTCGTCTCTTCTGCAGACGCTGAGAGAAGAACCCGGTGAGCTGCCATATGTTCGCGTCTCGTTCACTCCCTGGTTCACTCCTCGAGCAGCTCTGGGCAATCTCTCCCTTCAGCTAAGTCAGGAGGTCATCGCGGCATCTGTTTCATCCGCAGCAGTGGTCATTTGGGCAAAGACAGAGGGAGGATGCGTCCTGGGAGCGAGTGCTTTGAGCGAGAAGCGGGTGAATGAGAAGGATAAGAGGGAACCACACTGACTGACGGCAGGTCAACCCTCATCAGCTGGCAGGGCAGGCGGTCGAGAGCTTGCGAGAGTCTCTTTCGCACGGAGGATGCGTCGATGAGCACATGCAGGACCAGGCAAACAGCTTCGCGTCCTCTTGTGCATGACTCGTGCGTCAGCTCATGATCTTCATGGCCCTCGGAGACGGCAGAAGCTCCTTGAGAACTGGGCCCCTCTCTCTCCATACCAAGACAGCGATGGTGGGACGAGGAAACGAGGAAACATTCATACTGGTAGTGATGACAAGCTTTGAACAGGCATTCCTAGAGGAGATGACGGGGGTGAAGTTTGAAGTGAGGGAGGAGGGGACTAGCGTCATCATTGAATGCCAAGGTTTAGGATATCGCCATCGACAAGACTGATAAAACAATTCTGCTCCTCCCGTTGAGTTTTATTGATTGATTAACTTCTCACAAGGTTCATTAGAATCTTTGACTTCCATCGAGGTCCGTCAAGTTTGATTTCAGATCTCTTGACTCTCTTTGCCTTTCTGCCGCATATTTTTCAACATACTGCGTCAAACAATTTCAGACGAGCAGCAGCAGTCAATCAGCACCTGGGAGATCTTCTCGAACCCTGTCACATGCGCGAGAGCCTTTCTCACATCTTCATTTTGCATCGCAACATCAAGAAGTTGCTTTGCGTCGTTTCTGAGCTTGATCTGATACCTTCTCAAAGCCTCTGACCTCAGCTCGTCTTTTGTTTTCACCGTCTTGGTCTTCTTGTGGGTGCGTTCGTCTACTCTCGCAGCATAAGGATGAAGATGAAACAGGCGGTGAGGAGACGCGTGGGTTTGTGCCCTCTTGACATGCGATCTTTCCGCCATCCTCTCATCCCCCCCCTGCTGCTCTTCGCTGGCTCGTCTTGCCTCAAGATGCCTCGTCGCGGGATGTGGCTGCTCTCCTACCTCTACCTGTAGAGCCTGCTTCTCTCCATGCAGGTTGCGGTTTTCTGCCCTCGTCTCCACCTTCTCCAGCAGCTTGCGCGGGTCATCAGGCACACCTGGATCATCCTGTGGGCGCAAAGGTCTTGCATGGCGGGAAGAACGCTTTACCTCCTGTCAGGTAGGATCAGACAGTGAGAGGGAGTGAGGACGAGTGGATCAGACAGTGAGAGGGAGTGAGGAGGAGAGGACTGCGTTGGATCGCTCCAGCTGCTTCTGCGACTCTCCCGATGACTGTCAGCCTGAGGTCAGGAGGTTTGACGGGCCCAGCAGCCAAGACCTTGCGAGTCTTAGATCGCGCCTCAGGTTCCGGAGCTTGTCTCGAGCTGCCAGTCATGCGGGCAATGTCAAGGAGGTTGACGTTGTAGTCGCCTGCGCATCCGGTCACCTCCTCCTCACAACAGCGAGCGCAGCCACCTGGCCCAGGCTCTTCTTTGCTCTTGTAGATGATCCAGTCCAGCTCAGTCTTGGGACGTGCTGTGCTGAACTTCCCGCCTCCAATCTTGGGAGTGTGATAGGACTGATACTGCTGGGGACCAGGTCTCTGAGCTGCCGTGTACATGACCCAGTCGATCTCAGACTTGGGTCTGCTCATGTTGAACTTTCCACCAGAAGTCTTGAGGTCTCTCCTCACGTTGTACTGCCCGGGCCCGGGAATGTCCTTGGCCCTCAGGATGGTCCACTCGATCTCCGTCTTCGGGTTCGCGTTGCTCATCCTTCCGCCCTCTATCCCTGAGCTGCTCGGCACGTTGTAGTGTCCGGGCCCGGGGATCTGAGACGACATTCGAATCAGAGTCTCCACCGCTGACTTGGGCCGGGCGGTGCTGAACCTCCCTCCCGACACCTTGACGGGCTCGATGGTGTTGTAGTCGCCGGGCCCGGGAATCTTGGAGGCGCTGTAGACCTGCCAGTCGATGTCTGACTTGGGTCTGCTCATGTTGAATCTCCCGCCGCTAAGGTTGAGACTGCTCCCGACCTCCTCGAAGTAGGCTCCAGGACCCGGAAGCGACCTCGATCGATGCACCGCCCAGTCAATCTCCGTCTTCACGTTGGCTGTGCTGATCTTTCCTCCGCGGGTTCCGAACACGAGGTACTTCTGCGAAGGGATCAGGACGAGGAGGGAGAGGCGACACTCACTTGAGGGCTTGAGGTTCTCGGTCGGGAGCGAGCATGGCCGAGGGAGCTGAAGTCAGTGCTACGAGTATCCCTGAGGTGACTGCAAGACTCGAAACTCGTTTTCGGTCTGATGGCGACCGACGAAAGTGACTCCACGGAGAGGGAGCCTTTCATCAAGCTTCTTGCCCCTCCCCTCTCTCCACTCACGTCATGCTTGGTCGCATGCGATAGGCTTTCAGGCGTTGCCGCCATGCTCTGAGCTTGAGCTCGCTTCTCGCCTTGTCCATGATGTTGAAGCTCCAGGTTGGTGATGGATGAGGTACCTTGCGGTTGCTCTGCCATGACGAGGCCTCCCCGTCAGAAACGCATGCGGCAGAGCTCCTGCAGGCAGAGGACGTGAGGGTTTGAGGAAGGAAAGAGAGGAGGCACTCAGGGGCCTCAACTACCAGCCGCTTCTCTCTGCTGCTACCACTTGTCTACTCGAAGCTGTTTGCATTCAACAGCGCCAAGAGGTTAATTCCTTGAGATGTCTTTTCACTTGTTTTAGACTCCCTACATGCTGCTTGCTCACGTGCACCCCCACTTGCCCACTTTTACGGTGTTCTCACAAGATGTTCTTATAATTCATATTCATCATTTGACGTGATTAAAATTCCTCTCGAAGATCTATTTCTCTTCTACTTCACTCTACTTTTCGCCTTAGCCTCGTTCATGAGATGTCATCTTGATCGTTTCAAAGTCTATCTCTTCTCCCCCCCCCCCCCCCACCGCCCCCCATCATATTTCTCGTCTTCCCTCCTCGCTTGCTTCCTTTCTCATCTTTCCTACATTCGTCTCCTCTCCTCATCATTCTCATAGACTCAATTTCTTGTCCATGAGCTAGCCTAGCTTGCATTACTTCTCTCCTTATCGCCATGAGCTAGCCTAGCTTGCATTACTTCTCTCCTTATCGCCATGAGCTAGCCTAGCTTGCATTACTTCTCTCCTTATCGCCATGAGCTAGCCTAGCTTGCATTACTTCTCTCCTTATCGCCATGAGCTAGCCTAGCTTGCATTACTTCTCTCCTTATCGCCATGAGCTAGCCTAGCTTGCATTGCTTCTCTCCTTATCGCCATGAGCTAGCCTAGCTTGCATTGCTTCTCTCCTTATCGCCATGAGCTAGCCTAGCTTGCATTACTTCGCTCCTTATCGCCATGAGCTAGCCTAGCTTGCATTACTTCTCTCCTTATCGCCATGAGCTAGCCTAGCTTGCATTACTTCTCTCCTTATCGCCATGAGCTAGCCTAGCTTGCATTGCTTCTCTCCTTATCGCCATGAGCTAGCCTAGCTTGCATTGCTTCTCTCCTTATCGCCATGAGCTAGCCTAGCTTGCATTACTTCTCTCCTTATCGCCATGAGCTAGCCTAGCTTGCATTACTTCTCTCCTTATCGCCATGAGCTAGCCTAGCTTGCATTGCTTCCCTTTCTTCTCTGTGCCCGACAGCCGTTGGCCCTAATGTCAGTTATGGCAGCAACGTTCGACTCTCACAGTTCAGATCATCGCCCTCATATCCCTAGGCCAGCATCGGGCAGAGCAGTGCGGGCAGAGCATCGGGCGCATGATGGGGTGCATCGGACTGGCGGAGCAGTCAGATTGAGGAGCGAGATGGAGGCGAGGAGTATGGGAGGTGAAGGTTGTTAGCAGGAACAGAGCAGTGAACAGCTTGACCAACAATCGTATCGACTGCTAGCTTTCAACCAGCTCGCAAGGCAAACGGGAGTCAATGCATGCCTCGGCGATGCTGCTTCAGCCTTGTCATCCCCTGGTTGTTGCTTTTCCTCCCTGACCAGACGCAAAGCTTTAGCGGACGACTGTATGATGCTCTCAGTCGGAGTGATCTATCCATAGCTGACATACCGGGGAAAGGGAGAGGATTAGTCGCTCAGAGGCGATTCCCACAGGGAAGCCAGGTCCTGCTCGAGGACCCCTTCGCGTATGCCCTGTCCTCAAGATTCGGCTCCCACGAGAACTTCTGCCACCATTCGCTTGCTTCGCAATCTCGAGTCAGACTCAAGCGATGTGCAGGTTGCAGGTTTGCAAGGTAAGAACGAGTCTCAATATGATGTTTCCTCTCCATGCGTCGACTGAAGCACAGCAGGTATGCCTCGGCAGAAGATCAAAAAAAGGCTTGGAGCAAGCACAGATTAGAATGCAGGAGGATCAAGGAGTGTATCGATCATGGTTACATGCCATCCTCATTTCTTCTGACGGTCGCCAGGATGTTTGACGCAAAGAAGCATCGATTCAACTCCTCAACCGCCACGTGGGAAGACATTCTGGAGTTAGACACTAACTATGACACATGGAGCACTGATCTCCTCGCCTCCTTCGCACAGGTCACTTGAAGCACACCTCTCTGATGTTTTGCAGCTCTCATGCCCCACAGATCACGTACGTCGTGAGAGACTTCATGGCCGATGGCGACGTCAACAACATGTTCTGCCCCAAAGAGTGGAATCTCGAGGCCGCCAGGCTTCTCGATCAAACCTTCAATGCTACTAATGGTATCGAAAACCCTCGAGAGATTCTGATGACTATATGCCGACTCTACAACTATGGCTTCACGATCTGCGATGAAGAGGAGCGGTGTTACATCTAGTCTTGTGTGCTGCTTCTCAACGGGAGGTGGTGGCAGGCCAATCGGAACAGGACTGTATCCCCTCGCCTCCTTGTGCAATCACGACTGCGCTCCCAACTGCCTTGTCACCTTCTGCGGTCCCTCATTGCAGCTTCGAGCGACAGAAGAGATCGAAATGGGCCAGGTACAGATGGCAAGGGTTGACTGGCGACTAAGGTCTGGCCTGCAGGAGATCACCATAAGCTACGTCGATAGCGCTGAGCCGCATTGGTTGCGACGAAAAACTTTGCACAAGAGGTGGTTGAAGTTGTAGATGTAGTTTGTTGGAGGTGGAGCCCCTTATGCATGGCAGGTACCTCATCAATTGCTCGTGCAGCTTGTGCTCCAACGAGACTGCCTCTCTTTCGCGTGATTGTCTCCCTCGTGACGCACTTCTGGATGAAGTCAAATCAGCTCTTCGGTATCAATACCCCGGAAAGGAAGGAATCGAAGAAATCTAACAGACAATCTTCAGATGCAACAGGACAGGATGCTTTGGATGGCTACTGCCATGGGATGAAGAGGAGGCAGAGTTAATTTGCAGGAGGCTCACAATCCGGTGAAGACAAGGAAGGGAGGCAGGGAGGCAGGGAGGCAGGGAGGCAGGGAGGGAGAGGAAGAAGCAAAGTCGTGTCTCCGAGAGAAGAGACTATTGCGAAGCTCATCGTGGATGTCAGGCCTCTCTCAGATGAAGTATGGGAACGAGAATTTGAGATCGAGGAGAATGCCAACGTTGAGGACAACTTTCCTCTCTCCAACTTGGCGATCGACGGGACAGACCTCCAGGAAAGGGAAATTACGAAAGAGGTCGAACGACCGGGAGAGGAACAGCTACAGGTTCTGTCTCAAGACGTTGGTAAGCTTTCGACAGTGGAGATTTGCAGAGACGAGGAGGAGAACTCAGAAGTAAGGCAGGAAAGTAGAAGCGGGTAGAGAGGCAGGTAGAGGAAGACATTTAGGGGTGTAGGTGGATGAGTGGCTAAGGAGTGGGAAGCAGGGGGAAGAGCAGAAGAATTTACGTGCCAATTTTCAGATTCCTCTTTTGCCAACATCAGGAGAGAACCTGCAAATGTGAGTGAGAACCGACTCTTCATAGGACGAAAAAAGGCAAGGGGAGAAGCTGTAGGAGCTGAATAGCCTGTGGCGATGCTCTGAGGGTCTGTTCAGGTGGAGAGACTGGGGATACTGCAGACGAGAGCAGAGGAAGCATATACGCAGCTCTATGGAATGTTTGACCCTGAGGACAAAGAGCTTGAGCAGTGGATGAGGGAGCATGTGCCGCAGTACAGCGAAATAGCAAAAGAGGTGGAGGAAATGTCGGCCACCCCTCGGTTGCTCGACGTCTCGTCTCTCAACAGCTCACGCACAGAGCTGGAGGAAGTAAGAGCCTGCTGCGTGTGCGGGGGTGTGGTTGGCGCTTTGGAGCTCGAGCGAGAGGTGCAGGAGGTGATAAGCAAAGGAGATATTTAGCAGGCACTGACACCAGACGAGCAGCTGGTTATCCAGGTGGGGGCCATCCGAAAACACATGTGGCAGGATGAGAACGAGCTGATAGATCTAAACAAGTAAGGAGGAGAAAGTAGTGGTCTAGAGGAGAAGGAGTGTAAATGATGTCCAGGAAGTTGACTTGGTTGCAGAGAGAGAAGCTTGCAAGGAAAGTTGCATGCCGCAAAGACCCAGCCTTCAGCTGACAGAGCAAACGAGTTGCTTCAGGTTGACTCATGTGTTAGGGATGCTACTCACACTCGTGATTCAGATGTTCATTCTTGCAGTCCAAAAGGCAGAGAGCATTCTCCATGATAACAACCTCAGCCTCTTGCGCCTTCGTGAAGCCATGCAAAGTCAAGCAGTAGAAGCGAAGAGCTGGAAGTTCGCCCTCTCAACATCATACAAGGTTCAATACTTCCATACCTGACTTGTTGCTTGACCTCTTACTGCCCTTCACCTTCCCTTTATCGTTCGCTCCTTTCTTCCTTTCATCCATAAGGTCCTTCGGAGACTCTACAAGATTTATCCGCGGTGCTCGCCCTATGTCGGTCTGCAGGTGCTGCGAGCAACATGGTGTCGTGGTCTCATCGAGGAGAGCAGGAGGCATTCCTCGGCAAGCTGTGCATGTTCCTGTCCGGCGAACCCGACAAGACGCTTTGCCATGGGTTTGGCGATCCCTTGCAGGTAAAAAAAGGAGAGAGGAGGACCTGGTGTGATGATGTTGCAGGAGGCGGTCAAGCATCTTCGGGAAGCCAAGGTTGAGGAAAGTCGATCCTTTTCACGCTGACTCTTTCTCAGCTCATTCTCTCTGGCACGCACGGATCAGAGCATGTCCTGGTTCAGGACATCAATCGCCTTCTCCAAGAGGCCCACTACGCTAACCAAGGCTTTGCAAGGCTGCAGTGAGACTAGCCCTCCATGTGCTTGGACGATGGAGGGCGAGGGTGTATCGTCCTGAAACAAATCGCGGACCCTGTCTCTGTGTTGAGTATTATTCCTTTATCGATCAAGCTGCAGGTGCAGCAGGGTACAAGTTTAGTTCTGAAACAAAAGTGCAGAAATGTGCGTTCTCGCCTTTAATGCAGTTCGAGCAAGAGGAGAACAAACGATAATCTGCCATGGCTGTCTCAATCCATACCGCTAAGCTATTTCTCTGTTTTTCGCCTGCACTTGGCAATGTCCTTCGCCTCCCCCCCCCGCCATTTGCTCCCCCGCCATTTCCTCGCCAGCGCGGGCCTGGCGTGTAAAACCACACGACCCACATGAAGGGGCCGTGGGTGTGGACCCCCTTCAGTTTGTCGAGGCTCTAAACTAACGGGGTAGGGTAGGGTCATACCAGTACCCCCGAACTTCATCGGCATGGTTGGGTCCGATCCATGCGGATATTCGATAGGGTGGGTACAGTGAACTACTGGGTGAGGGTCCCAGGTAGGTGTCACGGTGGGGTTCATAATCGGGTGACAACCAGGGGTGGGCAGGGCCGGACCCCCGACATGTCGTTGGCGTGTGGATGCTGCGGAAGGGATGGAGAAAGACAAGGAGGGAGGGAGAGGAGGAGGGAGGAAAGCCCCTTCCTCTTCCACTACTTCATGCCCGAACAAGGAACAGAACCTTCCTCCCCAGGCAAGAAGGATAGGAGAAGGTAAGAGGGAGGAAACGGTGGAGGTTCATAGATGCCTCCTGGACCCTTGAGGTCTCAGACCAACAGAGAGTTGCAGCACCTGGGGCACCCTCTCTTGTTGAAGATGTGCAAGAGAAGAGAGTTCAAGAGCCGAAGACCATGCTCTCTCATTCATTTTCACGCACCTTCCCAATCGTCGCTGCCTATGTCTCTTCATAATCTACTTGCATCTGTTTGCATCGTCTATGCAAACACGTTGTTATGTCTTCATTAACTCCAAATATTCAAACAAGCGCAAACATCTTCAAACATTTGTGCTCCATAATCACGGTCTAAGACTCGTTCTTGCACGCAGAGGAGTCATGTTTGCACAAGGTACCAACATGTCTGAGAGGAGGAGCGGGAACGAAATGGTATCTGCCTATCAGCAGAGAAGACGAGAAATGACAGGTCCTGCAGGCCGGCATTGGCATTTCATTCCGAGCACAAGTGAACAAGCAACTGCTAATCGTTGCCTCCATGAAGGATGATGGACCCGCAGCTCGAAGCGGCAAGGTGAGTAAGAGATAGTCTTGCAGAGGTGACAGGACAAAAAGGTGCGGGTTGGAGATCTGCTGGAGACAATCGATGGAGTGGAAGTGAAGACAACAGACTTCGGTGCTCCTTCACAGTTTCTCCTTGTCTGACAGCGGGTGCAGAGGAACTTGCCCACCTCCTTCTAGGACCTGAAGGCTCAACAGTGAGGCTTGGGCTACGACGAGACGGCAAGCTAGTGAGAGAGACTGACAAAGTGACGTTGGCTGAGGTTCTCGATGTGTTTGCAGATAAATGCACCAATAGTGAGAGAAATTCTCTTGCGTTGAGGAAGATGCATGTGAATCAGTCCCTAGGCTTAGAAAACTTGAAATCTTGCGAAAGTACTGTCTGCTGTTCATATCCTAATATGTAAATCGAAGCGAACTAATTCCTCTCCTCGCTATCAGACCTTACAGGCTTCAAGTCCCTTGTGCAGGGCCTGCACGTTGCTCGTCACCTTGCGAGGCTGAAGAGAGAAAAGAGTACCTCCTTGTCCAGGTTTCTTCCGATGAAAACGACTTTGACCTTCTTCTTCTCACCTTCATTCCATCCGTCCTGCCTCATCCTGTCAGACATCCTCTGGATTATTCTGTATCATGGATGAGACGCATCCTTCCACGTCAATCACCTCAACGGGCCCGAAGGCAATCTGTTCATGAACTCCGTGGAAGACAAATTTGTCATCGCTGCACTCAAGTGAGAATATAAAAGCTGAGGTCAAACTGCTGACCTGCCATGGAACTTGAGAACACCTTTGCTGCGATAGAGATCACGAGCCTTTTCTTGCAGTAGTTTGGTCATGAAGATGTTGAACTTCTGCTCGTCGAGCTCTCCGTCAATCTAGCCTTGGAATCATCGCCTCACACACGAGCGTGCAAGTCACACCTCAACTCCAACGCTGCTGACGCCGGAAAGATGTGCAGACCGTTTGGGTTTCTTCGGCGTTGGGCCATCATGGTCATGACCTGCACGAAAAGTTGAGACATGGAGTGACTGTAGACGGAACAACCGTGACATTCATGACACTCTCCATGCCCATGCCCATGCTCATGCGCTGACCAAACTTTGTCATTCACAGTCAGACATTCTGCGCTTTATCTTACAATGCTCGTGACCGTGCTCGTGACCGTGCTCGTGTTCTTCATCTGATTCTTCCTCCATGTTGTCGAGCATGTGACTAACCTGAAATGAGATAAATTTCATCGGGATTGGAATCATCGCGTTGGATGTCTATATCTTACACTCTCGAGGGAGAAACTGCCGATACCCAAGAGAAGATCAAGATTTGCCCTGGATCTCTCGGTCTCGATGATCTGTACGCATATCAAAGGTGCCGAATTCTAAAACCAAGAAATCGCCAACCTGTGCAGTAGCATTGATAGATTTTATGCTTCTCCGAACAGTAGATTTCTCTTCTTGAGAAACAAGGTCAATCTTGTTCAAAAGAATCTTGTCGGCAAAAGCTATCTGATTGACAGCTTCGTTGATGACCCCAGCTTCCCTCACGTCGTCAAGGTGCTGTTGGATGTGCTTGGCGTCCACAAGACAGAGAATTGCATCAATTCGAAACTTTGCACCAACTTCTCTCTGAGTGTTGAAGGTGAAAGCTACCGGTGCCGGATCAGCCATGCCTGTAGTCTCTATGATGACCGCATCGTACTTCTCATTCCTCTCGGCCAAACTCTTGAATGCCTTCACCAGGTCGCCACGCACGGTACAACAGACACAACCATTGTCCATCGAGATGACATCTTCCTTTGCCTGGAGGTTGGCAGTGACAAGACTGCTGTCGATGTCTACGGCTCCAAACTCATTCTCAACCACTGCTATCTTCTTCCCATGCCGCTCGTGCAAGATGTAGTTGATCAGAGTCGTCTTACCTGCTCCCAAAAACCCAGTGACAATAGTAACGGGGGTCTTCTCGCTATCGGGTAGAAATTCTTCATCGTCTTCCTCCTCCTCATCTTCTTCCTCATCTTCCTCAGGCTCCGGAGGAGCCCCGAGGGCGGCACGTACATCGGCATTGCGAGAGTAGAATGCAGGCTTCCTTCCTCGCATATCCCTTATACTTGGGTCGGCGCCCGCAGCAATGAGCTTCAGGACGCACTCGATTCTTCCTCGGCCGTCTCCTCTTTCGTTCTCCTGTGCGGCGCAGTGCAAGGGCGTGGCACCGCTGAAGGAGTTGGCAGCATTGAGGTTAGCACCGGCCTTGATGAGCATGTCGAGGATGGCTGGTCTTCCCCATAGGGCGGCCACATGAAGGCCCGTCTGTCCTACACCATTGGCCTCTGACGGATCCTTCCCCTCCTGCAACAGCTTCCGCAACGTCTCCTCGTCTCCTCGCTGACACGCGCTGAGGAGCTCCATGGCCAGTAGAGATGCACTACCGGTGGTTTGCAGTACAAAATAAGGGGTTCGGACAATGGTGGGGGATGCAAGGGTCCAGTGATCCCAGCTCCATCTATAACTATGGGGGTGGAATCTACACCGGTCATTTTGACTATAAAATGTTGAACTTTACCTGGTGGGTACATCTCACCGGAGGGTCATGATTGATGGGGTAGGGTAATAAGGCGAGAGAGAATCTTCGGTAAGAATGGTTTTATTATCCCTCCGGGGGGTAGGGGTAGGGGGTAGTAATGTCTGGAGGGTAGGGGTATACACAACAGGGGTACATAAAGGCAATATTCAGGGGCAACCAAAGGCAATGTCAGGGTATAATCTCCAGGGGGGTATGTCATATACCCAGGGGTATGTCATATACCCCTCAGTGCAACTGCTCTTGCGGGTAGAGTACCCCTCCCCTCACACTGCCCCTCCATGTATAACTGTTTTAAAGGACCTAAATAACCCCTACCCTCCTTTTCCACTAACAAAGTAGGGGTGTGCTCAACATCCTGACCACCGTATCCATTCAAGGGTAAAATGGGGGTATAGCAGGGGGTACAGCTCCTACTAGTGAGGGTTGGCCCGGCACCTCTCCTCCGCCCTTGGCCGGATCACGAAATGCTCGCGCTAGTGCCGACAATGGCAGCAACAATGGCAGCGACGATAGAGGCCGCGACCTGCTCGTCAACACTATTTTTCCTCCCTTGTTCTCCTTTCTCCTCTCTGCCTTATTTTCACTTGTCTCACCATTCGCTTCCCCCTTCATCCCCTCATCGTCCCTTGAGATGTTTCTTTGAGGATGGTGGAAGAATCCTAGGTCGTGGCCCATGGACTAGAATGTTCTCTTCGCACGCTCCACTGATCAAAGATGAGAGCGCTTCATCACATATAAAGGAGGGAGGGAAGAATGCAGAGAAGCAGCTTCGTCTTTTCTACAATGATATCTACCATGTCGAACTCCCGTAAGTTGGCTGTCAAAGTGCCTTGGTACAGTCTCGCGTGAAATAAATTCTCTGAATTTATTGATGGCTAGGCAAAGATTGATGTTAATGATGATTGCCTGCCTCCTTATTTGAATTTATCTGTCTCAATATTCAGAGTTGGCCTCCCATTTGCTGAGTTTGATGGGGCGTCCTCCTGCAGACAAGGCCATCGGTTCCCGATGCACAAGTATCGAGCAGTTCGAGAGAGGATACATCACGTACTGCTGAGAATGTCATTTGTTTTAGTCACGGATGTGTTCAGGCGAACAAACCAAACATCGGTGACAGCTCCTCTTTCCGCTACGAATCCTCACGCCACATCCTAGTTCTACAACCCTCTCCCATTGCAAGGACAGATGACATTCGGACAACGTAAGGCCCTTGTTGCCTCATCTTCATGCTCATGCCTTGACAATGTCGCTAAGTATCCTTACAGGCACTGCCATGAGTACCTCAGACGTTTCCTATGCAACATGCTTACAGGTTTCAAGCTGTCAGGCTTGATGACGTCTGACTTTTTGGAAGACAAGGAGAATAGAAACATTGGTTTCCCTTGGAGCCCGCAGGTGCTTCTACTTAATTCTTCTGTGAGCTGAGGGCTATCTTGAGGGCGTGAAGCGCACGTTGTCTTCGGTAGGTGGAACGGTAGCGGCCATGCACAGCGTTTGCGGACCAGCAGGTGAAGAAGCTTGAACTAAAAGGGAGATTACTAAAGAGCACAGGACATAAATTAGCTGGGCACATTGCTGGTGGAACACACCATGCGTTCAGAGACAGGTTAATTTAGTTTGTTCAAGAGTTTTCATGAAGGATGTGTGTATGGCAGGGGTGAAGGGTTTTGTGTATTTTCAGACATTGCTGGTATCTCTCATAGTGATGTCGCTGTTCGCCAAAGGCTTTTCCAGTTGCTGCCAATGTTGCTTTACGGGACTATGAACATATCAAGAAGATTCTGATCGTTGATTGTGATGTGCACCAGGTGAGAATGTCTGTTTCACAGCCAGGCTCACAAGATTACCAGGGGAACGGAAATGCAGTTTTATTTCAAGATAATCCGTTTGTATTCACGGTGAGAGTACTCAATCCTTGGGTTCAGCTGATGTAAATCTTCTCTGACAGTTTTCTATGCATTGTGCTGGAAACTTCTTCAGCGAACGGCAGAAAAGCGATCTCGATGTAGAGATTCCCGTCCATTGTAAGGTCAGCCGATCACCCTGCTGAGACAGACCATGACCAGCTCCCCAAGGATGATGACTACATGAGCCTGCTGCACTATTGGCTGCCCCTTGCTGTGGATCGCTCGCAGCCCGATCTCATCTTCTATCAGGTCGACAACCTCCTTCGCTGCTTATACGCCTTCCTCATCTCACTTGCGACTGCAGTCAGGAGTTGACTGTCTTGGTGGTGATAAGCTGGGACGAGCCAATCTGACTTTAGACGGGGTAACGTATCGTGATCCTACAGGCGGTAGAAGTGACACTTGAGAAGCTCCGTGCAAGGGATGCTCTTGTATATAAGACAGCTTTAGGTTGATTCGTATCCCTGTAGTGATGCTAGAGCTCAGCTGCAGTCAGATCACAAGATCAGGCTCGTGGTGACCATGGGCGGAGGCTATCCAAGGGACATGAGCCCTGCTAGCCCGGAATTCAGGTATCATTGAGTTACAAACAATCAAATGATTTCACTGCAGAGCTACTATAAATGCACACGCGAATGTATACCTGGGAGCCGCGGACGTATTGGTTTCATAGTCTCGTAATCCTAGTTCATGTTAAATTTTATTTTTTGAGAAAGAATATTCTGCAAGCTGAAGCCCAGCATGAGTGGAAGTGTTCTAGACATCAATTATCATGACAAATGTACAGAGAAAAACGCCGTGGGTATCTTACAAAGGGGCACTAGCAAGCCTGGAAAGGAATGCAAGCATCAAGTCGCTCTGAACGAACACTTGCACATTTCTTGTGATGCTTCTCCACCACCTTTGCCTTGAAAACTTCGCCCTTCTTGAAAACTTCACACTCTGTTTCTTCAGGCCAGAGTTCACAATCGGAAACGCTTTCCGGTGTGTTGCATTCGACCGTTGTAGCAGAAGATTCTTCTGCGTCCAATCGAGACAACAAACGGATACCGATGCCAGACAGGTTGCACATATTTGCAATGTTTCTTGAGTTCCTGTACGCACGAAATGCGTTGGCAATGAAAGTCATCTCCGAGGTATCAAATTCACTGATATCTCGTCGCAGAATCTCCTGTTCAAGAGAGTAGAAGGCCTGATCGTGGAATTGCCCAAGTCGAGCAAATGCCCACGCCATTGTTGAGAGTTGTTTAGGAGAAAAGGATCGAATCGAACGTTTACGAAGATAAGCAGCCGCCAACTTGACAGTATCCTCGCCACTGTGTGTGCATGTGCCAGTCAAATCAGATGCCGCAAAAGCCCACAGAAGGTCCACAAAGCTCTGATCACTGAATCCCGAAAACCCCACACTCCAAATCTGCTCTTCTGCACAGGCCAACAAGTCATCTGTCATGCGACCGAACACTGCAAATGCCCAAAGAATGCAGGCAATGTTTTGACTATTGAATGATGACATGCCCTTCTCTACCACAAATTCCTCTATCAGGGAGAAGAGGTCTTCGGCCTGGAACCTTGCCCTTGCAAAAGACCAAGCGATGATTGAGATCTTGGGTGCATTGAACCCTTCTAATCCGGTGCTCATAACGTGTTCCGAGACTTTTTCAAACAATCTCTCATTTGTATGCCCCAACGCTGCCATACCCCATATCATGCTAGAGACTTCCATTGGCTTGAAGCCATCTAGTCCTCTTACAAGAACATGGGATGAAATCTTGTCGACCAATTCGTCATCAAAATAGCCCAATGTTCCAAATGACCAAACGATGTTTGAGAGAACTTGTGGGCAAGCATCATCGAGATCTCTGTCCAATACTTGCACGGAAAATCGATGAAACAACTCTCTAGCAGGACATTTTAAAGTTGCAAACCCCCACAACTGTACCTCATAGTCAGACAATCAGATTCAACATGTCAAAGATGTTACCATGTTGGAAATGTCTTGCCAATTGAATTCAAACAGACAGCGATCCAGGCACTCCTCTTGAATCAACTTCAGCAGAATTTGAGCATCGGTAACCTTGAGCTTTGCGATTGCCCATGCTGTATTCGCAAGCTCTCTTGAATTGAAGTCTTTTGCTTTGTTCTAGAAGATATAGCGTCAGGATCGATCGAAACGGTTTCCTTATAACAAGTTACCTCTAATGCATTCCGCAGCGATCTCAAAAGATTGGTAAGTCTAGGATCTGTATCCACGTTTTTCATTCTCTGACCGCCCTTGACCACTAGTCTATGCAGAGCAGTTGACAAATTTGTCCCGTTCAGATTACACTTGTTGTCAATTGCAGTGCTGACAGAATTCAAAATTTGTTCAGCTCTGTTCATTCTTGAGAGCTCTTTGTTAAAGTTGATCTGCTCCAGGGTAGGCCTGTTTGCGTGGATCATGTAACTCCTCGATTTTTGTGTACCCCTTTGAGTTTGCCGATTTCTCGTTGAATTTATGGCCCTCAACTCGGAGAGGTTGCTCATAACTTTGGATGATTTAACTTCAGTTGATCTTGGAAAGGCGGTATCATCATGAAAAGACATGGCAGTGTCATCTGAGGCCAGGCTCTCAGTATCTGCTGGACACACCGAGTCTGAGCAGGAATGGTCTCTGTCATATTCTGAGCGATATTCCACACAGACACTGTTTTTATCGGTATCAAGAATCAGCGGAACGCCTTGATCTTTCTTTTGCTTCATGTCTCCGTTATTCTGCAAGTGCGAAATTGCCAAGGAAGTAATAGCCAAGGGAGTAATATCCGATGCTGAAAAGCTTATGCGAGAAAAACCAGGGATTCAGGTTTGATGATTTGAACTTTGCTCCTACAAGAAGTTCGAATACAATTTGTTGACAAGAGTACTCGTGTTCAATAGATGTTGCTTTCGCGTTGGAGAAATCGATAACGGAAAAATTCAAATGTGCTCTGCGTAAAACCTGCAAATCAAATGAGTACAATTCCACCTTGAGCTGTTCATGAGTGATTATCAACATTCATGATCTTACCTCAGCTAAATCGATGATTTCATCCGTCGGCACTACGCAAGCTTGTACTGCACATCTTTATCCTCTGCGGTATAGTAACCCACCTTTCCACCTTCTTTCAATTCGAATGGCGCCCTCCTCTCTTTGAGATCTCTTTTTAGCACCAATGCTGTTTGATTATCAAGCACAGCCCTCCCAACACGCCGCGTCCTCTCACTCTCGCCCTCTCCTTCCTCCCCTCGTGTGCATCCCTGCGCGCCTCCAGTTAGCCGTGTCACATCCCTTTAGTACCAGGACTACCCCCCCACCCCAGTGTTGCACTTCAAAAATACCGGTACGAGGAGTTCCTCCTACTCCTCCTCGTACAAACGACCGTCGGCCCTACCTTGATTCAAACACTTACATCCCCCGACCAGCTCCACCCCACCCCCTTGTCACCTACCCCTTTTTGAATGCCGACCCTACGACTCAGAAACTTTGCACACCACCCTAGCTATGATGCCTGCCACTCATGTTTGAAGAGGGGTATACGACCCACCCCCATCGTACGAATGGTTCTAAACTCGCAACCCCCTCCTGTTAACTGAGTGTTTGCTTGTTTTCGATTTTATCGACCCCAACCCCACCCCCCCATTTTTAACTTCTCCTACAGCCAGCTCCTAGGACCCTGAATCTATCTGATACCAATGGCAGTACCCCGACCCCCTCTGTCTTTTTCATACCGTTAAAGAATCTTTCCCTCAAGTCCGTCTGTAGACAATACCCTACCCCCTTTTTCAGCAGCAGCTAAGGGTGTTTTTACCCGTCCCAATCCCTCTCCTTGCAAAAATGATTACTCCCGCTTCGAGCCTGTGGCGGCATCTGGCCACCCCCTGTACAACTGCCCCCACCCCCCTGTTCTAGGCAGGATTCTGAGACTCGTTGCTACTGTTATTGGCATCACAACATCTTCTGATCACACCACCCACCCAGTTGTCCCCCCAAATGTAGGTAATCACTACCCTACCCCCTACCCCTGGTACCTGAGACAAGGAGAGTCATCAGTGACCCATCTGCTCTCACGCTACTATGCCCACGAACATCCGAGGCCTCCCACTACCCCTGCCTGGCCGCAGCACCTCGGCTCTCAATCCACCCCTCCGGCCTAGCTAGCACTGAGCACGTGATGGATTATGAGGGGGTGGGTGTGAATTTCAAGTCTGGCAGTTACGATTATGAACTACCATCGCCTACCGTATGTACCCTACCCCTACCCACTCCACTGAGCCTGACTCCCGGCACGGTAGCGAGGGGCTACGACCTGCCGTCGTAGGTCATCGGCCAGTACTAGCAGCATCTTCATTCCCCTGACTGTTACACTTCAAAAGCCAGGGGGGGTCCGATCACCGGGTTGACTTCAAGATGTAGCACAAAGGGTAGGGTCCACCCCCGGGTACGGTCCGAGTAGTTGTGTCCAGGCGCACTGCACAGGGATCATCCGGGGAATGAGGGGGTACTCAAAGTGAGTACAGTACTTGACCACCCCCGTACTACGGACTACCGTCCGGTAACCGGGAGGCTCCGAAAGGTAGAGATTTGCCGAAGCCCGTTACGACAAGGGTAGCGGTAAGACAAGTGCCGCTGCAGCTGCTTGGGGTGGGGTGGGGTGGGGTGGGGTGGGGTGGGGTGGGGTGGTTTCATCGGATCGGTGGCAGTTTGGGTCATTTGTCTGGGCCCCTCGGACCTACCGTGGCAGGTTGGCTGTAACGGGTCTATGGGCTACGGACAGCTTCGTGAGTCTCATCACAGGCTCAGGCCTCAATCCCGGAGCCGCGGCCCGACCGGGCCGGACCCGGCGCCGGGCCCGCCGCACCGTTTAGTAGCCCTACTAGCCCAGGCTTGAAGCTCGGCCCGGGGCGGCACTCAGCTGCCTACCGTGCCATGCCAGATAAACGGGCAGTCCCGGCGCGCGGCTGGTCACATAGTCACGGACTAGAGTTGTCCTCACTGCCGCGGCAGAGGGCCTGGCACGGTGGCTCCCGCCGGGCCGGCCCGCCGGGCGGCCCGTCCGAGGCTGCCGCGACGGTGCAGTGCGGTGCCGGGCCCGGGCGGAGCAGCCAGTGAGCCTGCGGAGCATACATGTGCTGAGCCGCGACTTCGAGCCAGCTGTGCACAGCCATGCAATCGTCTGTGTCAGCGACGGCCAAGATCTGCTACGAGTCATTACTGGCAGTCATGATGCCGCTAAACGGTCAGTCACTGTGGTTCCACTCTGTGAGTGTCAGAGTCGGCCACGGTCCGAGTGAGTGACCGTTCAACGGTTTCCCTTCGGCTGGTTCAGGGCCTCTAGGCCTGATTCACCGTGTCAGGCTACTACGGCGGCACCCGTGACCTGAAAGTCTCAGGCCGTTACTGAGCCGTTTCGCCAACAGGTCGAGGTTGTCAACTATTTCGGGAACAGCATGGCGAGCCTTGGAGAGCCAGGAAGGGCGCGGGATGAAGCCTGACGGTCATGCAGAGGCTGCCACCGTGACTCGCCTGAACGCCACGAGTCGCTGAGCTGAAAAACCAAGTCAGGGGGCCCGTCCACACTGACGGTTGTTGGACTGATATCCGATGATGCCTGTGATCGATGATTCATGAGATTCAAAGTTTGCTAGCCTGATGATGGCCTTGCGAGGGAGAGAGGGTCTAGCGATTTGTCTAGCGCTCCTGCTTATAACACTCGCATACAATTACGTAGTAGACTTCCCCACGGAGCAACATGAACAGCATGCTGAGCTGCAAGAGAAGTATTTGAGCACGTTAGGAAATGCCAGAGAAAACGTCTTTGCCCGACTCGAAGACAGAGCCTCAAAATTCATAAACGAAGGGGAAGAAACATCGAGAATGCAGGAAAGGGCGCAACGGCAGGAGAGGTTGACGGAGCATGAAGTTTACTCCTCTGGTGATCATGGTGACGGGGATGAAGATAAACATGGACGGGAGGGAGGCCAATACTTGTCCAAAGACCTGTTGAATCGTCAAGTTCAGTATAGTTCTACAGATTTCAAGAAAGCCGTGTACCGCATCAAGACACGATTGTTGAAATCGCTTCAAGACGAACACTGGATTAGGAACTCAGTCACGAAACACTTGCAAGCAAGCTTTGAAAACAGGGGAAGGAGCAAGGAGCTGAAAGATGATTCCAGCATACTTGGAAACGTCGAAGATGTCTTTGCGCAATTCAATCTAGAGCGAGCATTCAGCGCTGCCTCCTTCAAGACTCACGAGGATAAAAAGCGCGCTCATTCGCAGGTCGGTGAAAGCTCAGCGTCAAACGAAGAAACTTCAATTGCAAGGACGGGTGAGAGCGAAAAAAGCCAACAGCAGGAGAAGAGCCCAAGAGAGGGGTATTTGGTGAACATCGGACTCGCGACCACTCGATCTTCTTGGAGTCCAGCAGCACTAGCTGCAGCTTTCTTCGAGATAGCAACGACGCCGTATCAAGAGAGCGCAATCGGCGACTTAGAGGTACGGCAAACAAGTTTTGCCCCTCTCGCGAGTGGATCTTTGAGTCAAGCTCTCATGGACTACGAGCTGCCGCTCTGGGCAAAGGTGAGAAGACTGGAGCGCTTCATACTCTTCATTCGTGATGCCAGGGACCTGGAAAAGCCATGGCAAACGATTACCCATCCATCGTGAAGGAGAAGAACGGGAGTAAAACAGTTTCAGCGAGAATTTGGATCTCGAATGATGAAGGTAATAGCACTTCAATTCAAGTCTCGTGTACTTTTGGCTGAGATCGCATGGAAAACTAGGCAAGCCTTTCTCGGAGACAGACAGGTGCGGTGATGATTGTGTGAGAAGAAGAGCTCAAAATTTGATTTGCAGGAATGTCTTGATCTATGCAATCTCCAAAGGTTGAGCAACAGGCTTCGCAAAATGCATATCTTATTGTCTTTCAGGTTTGGTCTTACCACTCAGCGACGTTAGCATACGAAGCGTGGAGATCGTAATTGATCAAAGCTGAAAATTCTTGCTTTGACTGCTTTGGTACATGATCAGAGAGAAGAGCCGTCGATCGATCGCACTGCTGGTGATGACGGGGATAGATTGGCTTGGGATAGATTGGCTTGGGATAGATTGGCTTGGGATAGATTGGCTTGGGATAGATTGGCTTGGGATAGATTGGCTTGGGATAGATTGGCTTGGGATAGATTGGCTTGGGATAGATTGGCTTGGGATAGATTGGCTTGGGATAGATTGGCTCGGGATAGATTCTTTGTTCTTACGGCTTAAGCTGGATGTTGAACAGGACGAGGGCGCGACGAGGATGAAGGAGAGTCTTCTACTCCGATCAATCAGGTGCGACGAGCCGTCGACCACAACAAGATCCTCTCTCTTCGTAACGTCAGTATGAGCTTAATGCGTCTGTTGTCGTAGGTCGATGAAGCTTCTGATGTTCCACGTCCACACGTTACGGTCAATGTGCTGGCAATCATGGCAGCTTTGAGTTGACCGGCAGAGCAGGGGGGAAGCACTTCGAGGGTGAACGGCTCGATTGCCGCAGCTCCTGCTGCCCCTTCAGGTTTGAACGAGACGGTCAAAGTCAACGATACAACAGCGACTAGCCGAGGCCCAACAGCCTTCACTCGATGCAACGGGATCGACAAGCCAATTGGCCCCCTTCCTCCAGGCTCCTGCAGAGGTGAGACTAACCTCAGGAGGCCAGCACTCGCTGCTCCCCTGCTCCCCTGCTCCCCTGCGCCGCTCATTTTCTTTGTTGCTCTGCCTTGTCGTCTTCTCGGCTCTCATCAGCCTAGCAGTGAAGCTCTGGCACAGGTTTGGTGGTCATCGATGGCCCGCAGGAAGGAGAGATTGACTCGGGGTCCCCGCATCCCATCTCCTTCAAGCAGGGAGCAGACTGTCGGTCAGCTGGCATTTAGTCGAGCTGGGCAGGAGCTGAAGTGACGGCAGGTGGCTGATCAAAGCACCGACAGGGACAGACTCTATGACTCTAGACTTCGAGTCCTTCCATCTAACAGGGGTCGTTCATCCTTTCTCCTTTCCTCGCTCCCCTCCTGCCCTCCTTCCCTTGCTTCTTCTGCCCTCCTCTCATCTTCCCTGCTTCTCCTTTCTCTGTCTTGATGCTTCTTCTTTCTTGCTTCCCACCTTCCTTGCCCTTCTCTTTTCACTTGGCCTTTTCCGCGTCTCTGTTATCTCAAGCCTTCCTAACAGCAGCTGCCAGACTCACGGGCACATTCGCATCTACACGGGAGAGGAGGCGATCGAGCGGTTCAAGACAAGCGAGGAGCAAGACTCTATGCTTGCCTACAAGACCTACACTGGTTTTTGGCTGTCCCCTCCTCACCATCTTACGCCTTTCTCAGGCATCGAGCCTCCCGATCACTCGCTCTACATCCCCGATAAGGAAGTTCTCATCGCCTTCCGATCCGAGCCCTGCGATCAGTCTGCTGGCTTCTCGCTCCGGTGATTCTCCTCCCTTCCTCCTTGCTTGTATTTCTTCCTTCGCCACATCGTTTGCCTCCTCTTTGATTCACTGTGATGTAGGTGGCAAGCGAGCTGCTCGAGCGACTCCTGCTCGAAAAAGTCCAAGTGACACTGACCTTCATTTCTTCATGTCCATGTCAACAGTACATTACATTGCTCCCTTTCTCCTCCCTCCCTCGTCGTCTTGGTCCCAACATCAACTCTTGGCTTCAGGCTCTCTCGCTTCGACTTGTCGCTGCTACTGGGAGGCATCGGCGTCGCTTGTGAGAGAGACGATGAGCGAGCGAAGCGCGTTGTTAGGAACCAACCTGCGCCAGCAGGTTAGGCCATGCTTCTCCTGCGCGGGCTCACCTAGCGTCCGGCAGCGGCAGCCCCGTCTTGGGGGAGCGGACGCCCCTGCTGCTGAACCACTCCTCGATCGCCTCGCGCTGCATGTGCGAGGTGTGAGAAAAGGGGGGGAGGGGAAGGAGAGAGAAGTGGTTGGTCACCTCATACGAGAAGCCATCGGCTGCTATCCAAGGATCTCTCATCATCTTCCTGGTGATGGGGCAGAGAAGCTCCTCAGGAATCTCCTGCATGCTCTCCTCTTCTTGCGTCCTCTTCCTCTTCTTCCGCTCCAGCTGTCGATCCTGCAGCGTCGCCATCACCGTCTCCCTCCTTCAGGTCACTATGCTGCTCACGATCGCGTCTGAAGATCTTCCGACGATGCGAAGCAGGGAGGACGAGTCCATCACCTGCACCTCCTCCTTCCTCCGGACCAGAACTCCTCGTGATTCCTCCCCGAAGAAAGCAAAACCATCGTCCAGCAGCAGCAGCTCCTGTGGATTTCTCACTGAACCCCCACCATCTGGTTTGCTCTTACCTCCCTGTCATGGCCCAGCAGCACTCGCCCGCTCTCCTCTAGCTGAAAGCTCCATTCTCCGATCGTCTTCTGGCTCTGAGAGCCCAAAAAATCCCGCAGAGAATCCGCAAACACCACGTTCCTCCCTCGCTCCTTCCTCTCCTCCTTCACTAGCACCGTCCCTGTGCGGAAGGCGAATCGGTCGTAAAGGGTCCCGTCAGGCCAGCACCTTGGAGCTGATCACGAAAGAAGCAGAGATCAAGAGGGAGAGAGTACCTTTTGACAACAGTGCCGCCTCCAGCAGTGAAAAGAACACCAACACCATTGAGAGGCAACTCAATGCTCATGCCGAACTCAACCTGTACAACAGAAGAAACGAATCAACTCGATCCTGACCGTGATCCTCCTCTAGCTCACATGTTGTAGCATCGCATATTCAGGATCATCTTTACTTCTTCTGATTTGCCACGCGTCCAAACAAGACAACTGCATTCCATTCAGTGGGGATGTGCAAGCTCACATGTCAGACATTTGCTGCCTCGGGACGATCGTCGACCACCTTGTTCTTCTTGAGCAGGTCAGCCCCTCCTGGCTGACCTGCTGGTTTCAACCTTTCCTTTCCTCCTCTAGCAAGCATCTCTTCTTCTTTCCTGACGGTGGCAGTCTGTCTTGCTCTCGCAGGTGTTCGGCTCCATCGGCCTTGAGGACTCTCCCCGTCCTCATCCGAGGCAGCGATGAGACTGTTGGGAATCTTGGAGATGAGAAAGGCCCAGGCGTTGACGAAGATGAGGCGATACAGCCATGAGATAAGAAAGGCGGCAAAGGACAGGAAGATCGCCGCAAGAAAAGCAGCACCGAAGACTGGCAAGGCCATGTGCAGCGCGTCGACAGAGCTGAAGGCCATGGACAACGGGGCGAGCAAGGATGGTTTCGAGCCACGACTGGCTTCGCTCGATCCTTTCACCCCATGAAAGACAGCCTGGGGCCCATGCAGCTTCTCACAGAACGCCACGTCGCATCGTCTCAGCATGTGCTGCTGAGTTCTGACAGTCTGTATAAAGCAAGGAGAAGACATCCATGAGGGCGGGGGGGGATGAAAGCTGCTCGGTTGCTGGGACGTACACATCGCCAGATGTTGAAACAAGGGGTACAAGGGATACAAGAAGATTAGTGAGTGCGGAACATAAGAGACGCAGGAATGATCAGTTGCTTCAGCTGCTGCATCGCCAAACCTGGTGCAATGCTAGTAAGAAAACGTGTCCTACATCCTCTACACGCCACTTTTGTCTCCTCTCTGAGATGCTTTCCCATCCTTTCCTCTCCTTCCCTTCCCCGCCATCTCCTCTTACTCACTGTCTCCTCCCCTTGTCTTCCCCTCCCCTCCCCTCCTTCTTGCCCTTCCTCCTCGTCTTTCTTTGGAATGCCACCCCACCCCCAAATTTACTTCAGAAATAGCAGAAGGAAATAGGACTTTAAAGGGTGGGTCCACTGTGATTCAGGGGGCTCTATGGCCGAAAGCAGCCATGGCGAAGCTCGGGATCCTTGATGTTCAGAGCGCCTTAATGGCGGCGGTGATGGATGATGATGAGGAGGTTGAGAGTGAGGATGGAAGAAAGAGAGGAGTATGCAGAGATAGGAAGCAATTAGGATCCTTGTGTCGTGGGATGTTGGTAGAGTCTGCCAGGAATCTGGGTCCTCCTTTCTCGCAACTGGAGTTGCCGCAGAATCTTTCGATGCATGAAGGATCAGAAACCAGACCTTCATGGAACATACGAAACGCGTGCGAGCTTGCGCTAGCTATCGCCTGCTCTTACAGGCACGCGGGATGCAGTGAAGACCAATCCCTTATTGCAAACTCAAGGGTGCTCTTCCGGGAGATGAAGAAGACTGTCATTCGAAGCTCTTTCCCCGAGCGTTTGCAACCCCTTTTTGAAGCTCTCGTGCTGACGAGAAGGAACACGCAATCAGAGGAGGCGCAGGCAAGCGGGAGTCTGGGAGGAGGCTGCTACCCATTTGCTGCTGCCCTGCGGAGTTTCTTCTTTGAACTTCACGTGCATCCGAAGAGATCTGAGCTCTTTCCCTGGTTGACTCGAAGCATGTCTCGCCTCCTCCAGACTGTCAGAAGCCGGATACCCAGCAGCGAGTTCGACCATCCCCTCCTGCAGCTCATCGAGTTTCTGGAGAGCACGAGCGATATTTTCGAAGCGTCAGACGAGGAGGTGACGGCGTTACGAACGCTAGACGATCAGCTGTTTGACCGGCATGCGCTCATTCACAAGATCGTGACTTGTGATTGCTTGGCTCCCTCGGTCTGCAGGAGAAGCGAAACCTCGGGGATCCAAGACCTGCATGGCATTCGACAAGTCGTGAAGCGAGGGCGCGAGTCTCTCTGGCTCAGGTCGAGGGTAGCGACTCGCTTTGCCTTGTTTCGGTTGTTGGAGAGGACGAGGTGTGAGAGTCTGTTGATCATGCTGCTCCATCAAGGTCTGGCTTGCAAGTTGCAGCCTGAGCGATGCGAGAATCTAACGCAGACTGACTTTGATGACGTCGCGGCCATTGTCAGTCTTTACCAGGAAAGTGCATCCTTTCATGCCTTGCACGATATCGCAAGCTCCGAAGAGCTGAACTCACTGTCATATTCCTTGCTCGCTCTCCTCGAATTTCAACTCCATACGACCGACTTAGCCATCCAGGGAGAAGAGAAAAGTTTGCAAGTCAGTCTCAACGACATGTACAAGAAATTTGTGAGCGACAAGAATTCAACAGCCTTATCATTTTGCATATTTGACCTCGCTCAAAGAGTGAACAAGTCTACGATTCATCATTCTGGAACAATTGCCGCCTTGATCACTTTCGGGTCCTTCATGTCGCTCAAGCAATCTCTTTCCTCGGAACATCCGTGCTCTTGTTCTTTCTGGTTGATTTATATTACTGTCATGAGATGTATAGGAAAGGTGGGAGAAGATGGAGAATGTGAGAGAGGAGCGGAGGACTCATTTGTTGGCACTCGAGACAAGGTGAGTCGAGCTCGTGATTGGTTGTGGTGCTTACCAGGTTGATGCGCATCAGGTGATGGCTACTCTGATCCTATCATCTCTGATGCGCCTCATCGAATCTCTTGACCACCAGCTCAACCAGTGAGTCTTTGAAGCTTTCAGGAAGGAAATCATGCATTCTTCCAGGTTGGTGCGAGAGGCCACACGTCCGTGTGATTGCCACCTGTCAACACGCGGACTGGGGAGCGGCATAGGCTTGTCTCATCCCACGTGGGTGAGCATCGGATCTGATCTAATCTTGACCTTGATGTCAGTGTGTACGACTCCTTTCAACGCGAGGTTGCGAGAGTTGCATGTCTGCTAGGAGAGGGTCGGATTTCAAGGTGAACCTCGCTCCTGCCATGTTTCAGCTTACTCGTCCTCCTCTACCTCTTTCCAGCTCGTTTCAGCACCTCAAGATTGCGATAAACAAACGTCTGCATACGCGAAGAGACTAGAGTTCGATGTTAAGGAGTTGCGGTGTTTCAATACACTTTCTACGCATTTGCGGCATCATAAGCTTTTTAGCATGGCTATGACGATTTGTCAACAGGCTTTTGGATCACCATCAAGGTGTATTCTTTATCTGCGAGGATGTCATTCTGCATAGCGATATCACCCGTCACATGACACCTGGCGCAATCAATATCTCATGCTTGAGCGATCGAAGTCGAAGGAAAGTGACATCGTTTTGTGGATCTAGTTCACGGATTGCACTTCTTGACTTGGACGCCAGCAAACTGATCAAACCCGCATACTGAATCGCTTCTGCTCGATCATTTTCAAATCTGGAGACGAGCAATCGGTCAAAATCAACGACTTGGTTGCTTACAACTCACGAATGTTTGATGGGGATGCCATCAGCATTTGTGATCAAGTAGCCGATGAATCCTGGATAGGAGGACAACTTCTTTATCGTCTCGTCGACCTCTCCCTGGTCGATGAAAGCCATGAGGCTTCATTCCATCATACATGAATCGCTTACCGTCTGCCCTGCCATTCTCTCAAGAGGACGACCAGCCTTGTTTGGCTCTCTTGTCCTCCCTCAGACGTCTTTGGTGGTTCCAAGTGTAAATCCTAAAAGCGTAATGAGCCTTTTCCAATGCATTCTATCAGTTTGAAGTGCTCCTGCCTGCCTGTCTGAAACATTTTCTCCTGTCCTGTCCTGTCCTGTCCTGTCCTGTCCTGTCCTGTCCTGTCCTGTCCTGTCCTGTCCGCTCCGCTCCCTCGTCCCCTCTCCTCAGTCGCCGCGCAGTTGCTTCTCCTGCATGGCCCTACATCAGACGGTTCACCGTTGAATCGCATACGAGGATCTATAGTCAATATTTGTTGAGATAACACGTCTGTAGTCAACACTCTTATTTTATTAGTTAACCTACTTCCGAGGATTTTGGCGGGAAGAGTAGAGAGTTTGTGGTTGTGGAAGAATGGTAAGAGATGGAGCGAGGAGATGAGCGAAGATGGTCAGGGGGGGGGAACAAGGAAGGAAAGGTGAGGCAGGAAAAATGAGTGAGAACACGTGATGTTGAAGAGAAGACAGGAGCAAGTACAAGATGCATGAAAGAAAGGCAGAGGACGCAATAGCTGGCACTCAATAGAACGAGAGAAAGGTTGGTATCCTCTCATCGAAGATGCGACGTTCGCAGGCTCCTTCTCAGCGAATTAGCGTCGGAAGTTTGTCTTGTGGATTCAAGCCGTTGTTTCCTAGGCATGGCGATTCCAATACACAGGTATCGATACCTGACAGTAGGATGGATTCAATCGGAGGCAACATCCGAACTTCAACAGCAGATAAAGTTGACAATTCAATAACAAACATCAATACAGTCAATTCTTTGGAAGGTTACAGTGGGGGACAAGAGAAAAATGATTCTTCCTCGGCTGATAGTCAGCAGATTTCACTGCAACAGGCGTTTAGAATGCCCTCTAGTTTGAAGAAGCCTTTGTCTTACCCCGCAGTCGTGATGCCAAATTCCAAGGAAGAGTCAGAAATAAGATTTTTTGAGGTTTTTTGGACAAAGCAGAGCAAGAAGAAGCACAAGGTATGGGATGATGGTGTCCTAATTGTGAAGAATGGCAGCTACGAATTGCAATCTCAGGATGGCAGCACCATCTCGAAAGGTTTAAAGAATGTTCAGGGCACCTCTTTACAAGAAGGAAATTTCACGTTCTTCGGGAACAATGAATGTGAAATCGTAAAAGAAATCACGGAAGACGAATACATTCAAATTGGAGCAGCGAGTATCGCCACCACTACAACAAAAACAAGCAACGTAAGGGCCAAAAATGCACCTTTCCGCTCAGTTCTTGGCAAGCCTACCCTTCCATTGTCAAATGAGAGCGATGTAATGGAAATCGATATTTCTTCAAAATCTACTACATCAGAATTCGTACCTATGTGCAAGGCTACCAAAAACTTTTCTATTGACCCTTCCCGTCAGCATGCGCACATCTTGAACGATGACCAGAACGATGATTTCTTGGTGGTTTTGGATCCCGTGCTAGGAATGCACATGAAACCTCATCAAATCGCAGGCACCAAATTTTTGTACAAGAATTTGATGACAAAACATCCAAACTCAATAGTTTCGGGCTGTATTTTGGCCGATGAAATGGGTCTCGGAAAAACATTACAGAGTATTGCACTTATTTGGACCCTTATGAAGCAATCTCCATTTTCCCTTACCGATCCAATAGTTCGAAAAGCAATAATTGTCTGCCCTTCTTCATTGGTCTTCAACTGGGCAAATGAAATTAAAAAATGGTTGGGGGATCAACGCTTAAGTGCTCAAGCCATTACCAAAGGTGGAACAAACGCATCAAACGATGTAAATGATTTTGTGAAGGGAAATGTGAAACGAGTTCTCATCATTAGCTACGATATGCTGAGGAGGCATATTCAAATGCTCTCAAGGTATCAAAACATTCAACTTGTCGTGTGTGATGAAGGTCAGAAATTGAAGAATATTGATGGAAACAAAACAATTGACTCCTTGAATGCACTTCCTTGCAAAATGAGGATTCTTCTCTCTGGAACTCCCGTACAAAACGATCTTGACGAGTTCTATGCTATGGTGAACTGGGTTTGTCCTGGTACTTTAGGTGCACCAAAACAGTTTCGGAAGATTTTTGCAGATGCAATTATCAAAAGCCGAGACAAAAGTTGTTCCAAGGACTTGCAGAGGATTGGCAAGAAAAGGCTCAAGGAACTCATTAAGCGAACTTCTCCTATTGTTTTGAGACGAACGTCTAAAGACATTGTAGCTCAGATGCCCCCAAAGTACGAAAAAGTTATATTTTGCCGGCCGAGCCCTTTGCAAAAGAAAATTTACAAATCTCTTCTGAGTAGCTCTGAGCTGAAAAAAGTATAAAAATGTACTTTGCCGCAAAAATTCTTATATTTTTTACAGGCAATAGAAGGTAATAGCGGGCAGGTTGTCTTTACAATCATCTCCAAATTGACCAAGGCCTTAAATCACCCAGATTTAGTGACAGCAAATCAAATCGAGGATGAGCAAAACAACAACTCGAATATCTCGCTGAAATTTGACATCAACACCCGCGAATTCTTTCCTTGTGATTACGAACCTTTGGATCCCTGCCATAGTGGCAAGCTAGATTTTCTATTTTGCCTTCTGGAAAAGGTTTCTACATCTCCTCTGAATCTTAGCCCCTGTGATTTAACTTGTCGTTAGGTGAAAGCTTCAACCAATGATCGAGTTGTAATTGTTTCAAATTACACCACTTCATTGGACTTAGTGGATACTATCTGCAAAAAGCTATCGTACAAGACTGTTCGTCTAGATGGAAGTACAGAGATCTCAAAAAGAAGTGACATTGTTTCTTCTTTCAATAACCCAAGCTCTGGAATTTTCGTTTTCTTGTTAAGCTCAAAGGCTGGAGGAGTTGGTTTGAATCTCATTGGAGGCAATAGAGTTATTCTGTTGGATCCTTCTTGGAATCCAGCGCATGACTTGCAGGCGATGGCTCGGGTATGGAGATTTGGTCAACCAAAACCAGTCTTTGTGTATAGACTGCTAACCACAGGCACTATTGAAGAGCGGATCTTCCAGAAACAAATACGAAAAGGAGAGTTAGAATCTCTTATCATGGACGATGTTGGCGATGCAAATCGTCATTTTGACCAAGGTGATCTGAAGGATATCTTTATTTTTTCAGAGAACACATCTTGCGATACCTATGATTTACTTGCACCAACCTTGGGGAAGCCCGACGAAAGTGGTGGGCAAGTCAAAATTGCTGGATATGCCTGCCTTAGTGGTTCTTGGATCGATGCTTCTGACAGGGACCATTGTTACCAAGAAGCCACAGACTCTGTCAATGGAAACGTTTCTTTTGTTCTTTTCAAGGAGACATCGTCAGCAGAAAGCATTCAAGCCGAATCCAAAGTTGTTAAGGAGACTGATGCGAGTTCAAGTACAAGCGAAACTGAAGAAGATGAGGGATTACAGGCCGGGGGAAATACAACAATAGAGAGCGACGACGACCTTGAAGGACCAGCATCTCCAAAAAGGAAACGTGTGCGTGCAAAGTATGCGAGCGAAGATGAAGACGATTTATAAATTAAGCGATAGTGTCGTCATGATAAGTCATGTGTTCATAGCCAGCCCAAATGGTTTCTTACAAAATCTCTTCTTGTCAGGAATTGGAAGCAGCAAGAATAATCTCTTGCAAGCTAGCAAGAAGTTCCTGAGGCGTACGGACTACTCGAGTTGCCTCCTCCCATGCTCTGTCCGCGACGAGAGGATTCGGGATGACTACACATCGGATGCCTGCAGCCACAGCAGCCTGCATGCCGCGGGGAGAGTCTTCAACCACGAGACATTCATCAGGAGAGCAGGCCGCTCTTCGCATGGCCTCGAGGTAGGGATCAGGATGAGGCTTCGACCTCGGGTAGTCCCCTGACGCAAGGCAAAACTCCATGTGCTCGACGATGCCCGAACTCTTGTGCATGAGCTCAAAATGATTTCGTTTGCTCGACGTCACAATGGCCATCCGGCATGTCTTCCCCACAGCCTTCACAACATCTAGCATGCCAGGAATGCGACAGTCGCTGCCCGACAGCAGCTGGCTGTACAGCTCGTCTCGCTGAGCTCGCAGCTCGTCGAGTTTTGCTTCATCCCCACGGCTAATGAGCTCGAGGACACTTCTTCCTTGCGTCAGGTTGACGTCGCAGAACTCTTCTTGGGTGAGCTCGATACCATGCTGAGAGAGAACCTGCTTGTTCGACAGCATGAACAAGCCCTCTGTGTCCATCAGCACTCCATCGTTGTCCCACAAAACCATCTTCACCACCATGTCGCTCAACTGCTGCCCTTGGAGCTCAATAATGGAAACAAGATCCTCTCTGCTGTCTTTCAAAAATACTTCTGAGGCGAAGTTTAGCGCCGAAAATGCACGTGCAGTTGCAGGATGCGACTCAACTGAGGAAGGGGAAGGAGGAGGAGGAGGAGGAGGAGGAAGGGGAAGGGGAAGGGGAAGGGGAAGGGGAAGGGGAAGGGGAAGGGGAAGGGTGGAGGTCAGACAGCAGAAACGGACGGATCAGGGTAGAAGATTGACACCTCGACAAGGCCTGAGCACACGCTGACTGGTTCTCATCCAGCTACTGAAGATGTCTGCCGTCGATGAAGAAGAGGTTTCAGAAGTCGACGAAGATGAGGAGATGCTGAAAGGTGTGTTCTTGTCATCGTGATACAACACTCTGCCCTTATCAGTCCCACCTTGACTTGGGTTACATCTCCATTATCTTTCCCTTTCTGATTGTTTCTTCTCTTCTCTTCGCTTCGGAATGGATTGGCAGCACAAGAAATAGATCTCTTTCATGCGTTGGGTGTTCCCCGAGATTGTTCGACTGACCTGGAGACTCGTCTACGAGCCGCCTACCACAAGAAGGCTCCCCTCAAAACTGAACTGTCAGACCTCTTACTCTCCTGCAGTCAACCAAATTTCATCCGTCAAAGTTCCGAAGCCAGCCCGTCGTCTGCGATGAATGCGGAAACGAGCTGGGTAGGACGAGAGATTGTGCTGTCGTTGGAGTGACGGGCGGGAGCAGGTGTGGAGGAAGGATGGTACCATCTTTGCAATGACACCTACGACGTCTGCCATGCTTGTTATGAGGAGGTTGAAGAGGAGAGGAGGAGGAAGTTCAAGTTGGTGAAGGTGAGCCATTGCTGTGGTTGGCTGCGGGATGATCGCTCACAGACATTGGAAGACTTGGGGGAAGAAGAAAGTGTGTACAGGGAAGAGATGGAGAAGAGGGTGAGAGCACGAGGAGGACAAGCAAACAAGTTGACGTGAATCGAGCAGGAACGGCAGAAAGCTGCGACCAAGAATTTCAAGATTGTCAGCCTGGCCTATCGGGTTCTGAAAGACGCGGAGCTGAGAAGAATCTACGTGGAGAGCGTGAGAAGAGAAGAGGGAGGAGGGGGTTGAGAGTAGAGGAAGAGCAAGACACGAGGAGATGAAAAGTTTGCTGGCAGGGTTGGCATGCTCTTGTCAAGTCAGAGACTTACTCGGAATGCAGCGTGTTCACCACAGACCCGTTTCGGCAGGTCAGGAGGAGGAGGAGAAGAAGGAGGAGGAGAAGGAGGAGGAGAAGGAGGAGGAGGCTAATTGTTGGGCTTTATTTAGTATGATTCATTCTTCAATGGAGAGGACGAAGATGATCGGCAGTACCTTCTGCTCAATGGTAAGAGGCGAAGTTCTTCTCGCTCCCTCCTCATCTTCTCCTTTGCAGGGACGGAGCCAATCTCCGACGACGACGAGGACGTGCGAGGAGGGGCAGGAGGGCAGGAGAAAGCGGGGGAGGAGGAGGATGAGGCATCGGCATCGGTGAGATCTTGTGTAGACGATGCGGCAAGTTGAGAGGACAGCAGGAGGAGGACGAAGACGAGGAGGTGGAGAGCGAGATGCCGACTTTGATCCCCTCCGACGAGATCTCAAGGAACAAGGTTAGTTCATCCCTCCTCCTTCTCCCCTTCCTCCTTACTCTGATCTGCAGCTCCTCGAGCGGGAGCCTCCTCCTCCACCTCGTCCTCCTGTAACGGTGATGGTGACGTTGTCCTTGCCCCGTGCTGACGGAGAGAGCAGGTTCAGGCGCCCTCCTCCTTCCTCGCGGGGCGGCAGGACGCAGACCCCTGGAAGCTGATCACGTGCAAGTGAGCTGGGAGCTGGGAGGAGGCGATGGACACGGATGACACGATGGCAGGGTCGAGCAAAAGGAGGCGGAGGAGGCGGACAAACTTCCGACGAAGAGGAGAGAGAAACCGGAAGCAGAGGGGGAAGTGAAGAGAGACAGGAAGGAATGAAAAGAATTCTCAAGTTTATCTTGCAACCAATGCACACAAACAACATCCCCTCCTTTTCCTCCTCTTCTCCTCTCTTTGTGCTTCATTCTCAATCTGCTGGCCTGACCTGCGAGGGGATCAGAAGCGACCCGCTGGTGCTACCGCAGGACCTGAGCGAGGCTGCTCAAAGGAGGCTTCTTGCGGCTCTGCGGGAAGAGATCGACAGGAGGGGGACGGCGAGTGGGGAGCAGCTGCGGGTCGTCAGGGAGAGGGAGGAGGAGGGGGGAGGGAGGAACCTCTCCCGTCAGCGGGTTGAGCTGATGACCGCGGGGGATCCTCGGGTTGTTGAGTTGTGCAAACCTGAAAGCGAATGAGGAGGAAGAAGGTCGGGCAGGAGGCAAGAGGAGCGGACGGCGAGATGAGCATAAAGCAAAGATGAGCGAAGGAGAGGGCAGGACAGAAATACCTCCTGGTGTCACGAAACTTGTTGCTCTGCACAATCATCACTCTTTCTCCTCCTCCTCGCAAAGTTTCACCGTCTCTTGGAAGGCATCGAAGACGCATCGTCCTCGGCTGGGGTCCTCGTTTCCAACACCAGGGATGATGTTGTAATATGGCAGCCTGTACATTTGAGTGAGAAGATGGACGGAGAAGAGAACGGGAGGGGAGAAGTGGAGGAGAAGGAGGAGGTAAGCAGCACAGAACGCAAAGGGAGGTGATAAGACTGACGTGGTGGATTTCAATCCTGCAGGTTTGATCCCATCCCGTCTCAGGTTCCTCACATTCACAGATCGCAAGTCGCACTGGAGAGAAGACGATGTGAGTCGAGGAGGACGAGAGAATAAAGAATCGTGAAGAGGAGGGGACGAGAGAGATGGCAAAGGATGCGCAGGAGATGGGGAAGGAGAAGGTGCAAGAGGAGGAGGAGGAGGAGGAGGAGGAGGAGGTGGATGGAGGAGGAGGAGGAGAAGGAGGAGGAGGACCTCACCTCAGTGAAGACTGTGTGGGAGAACGGTTCCTTGAAAGTCAGGCTGTTGTTGTCACCGAATTGAGTTTGTGTGCCACCGATCTGTCAGAGATGTCACGGGAGGTTAATGTAAAATTTAGTAATTGAGCACGAGGAGGAGGAGAAATACTAAACGAGGAGACAAAGGAGGAGGAGGAGGAGGAGGAGGAGGAGGAGGAGGAGGTGGTGGTGGTGGTGGTGGTGGTGGAGCATAGGGGTTGGGGGGGTGGGTTGGGGGGGTTTGGAGTTTGGGTCAAGCACCTTAAAAATCTCTCTCCTCGAGAATCCCGGCTGACCTGCTGTTCCATCCGGCTTCCACGACTGCGAGTAGGACGTCTGAAACTGAGACAGTCGCAGGTCATCTCTTGATATGCACATGGCAGGCATCAACCTGCTGGGAGGGAGGGAAAGAGGGCCCTCCTTCCACGAGCGAGTGAGACTTGTTCTTGTCCGGAGGAGTGAACCGTCTGCGCAAGGGGGGTGACTGCAGCTCCAGCTCCCCCACGCTCACCTGTAGTAGAACCTCGGCGCTTGATCTGCTATGCGCATCGTGTACTCGCTCCTGAAGTCTGTGGCATGCCAGACTTTCGGATCTATCTCCATGCTCGTCGACTTCCCCTTCCCCCCCGGCATCTCTCGTGAAATGTGGAGGTGGTTAAGACGCGCTCATCCCTCCTTTCACTTCCCTCCTTCTCTCGTTCTTGCTGATGCCTGGACTAACTGCAATTCGAGATTTGATAATGGTTTGATGTGATGTGATGTGATGTGATGTGATGTGATGTGATGTGATGTGATGTGATGTGATGTGATGTGATGTGATGTGATGTGATGTGATGTGATGTGATGTGATGTGATGTGATGTGATGTGATGTGATGTGATGTGATGTGATGTGATGTGATGTGATGTCTTGTCTTGTCTTGTCTTGTCTTGTCTCGTCTCGTCTCGTCTCGTCTCGTTTTATCTTCTTCCTCGACCCTCCTCCCTTTCCTGTGTGATCAACGCTTTGTCGTTAGTTTAACCCGCATCCCCGCGCTTGTCCTTATAAACCCGCATCCCCGCGCTTATCCACATGGGGCCGACAACAGGAGCATGCGAGGAGTGAAGAAGGCGAGAGGGCTGGGCAGGAGGGAGGGCGAGGAGGAGAGAGAGAGGAGGAGGAGGTGAAGGGGGAGGAGACGCGTGATACCTACAGCTAGATGAATCAGCTCGTGTCTTCCATCCGCTCGAGGGGTTTTGCCGTCATTCCCATCAGCCATGAAGTTCAGACGGTGTTGAAGACGGGGCTGACGACCTGGAGCCTCGAGAAGAAGTTCCGCTACCCTCCTGTTGTCGAACATCCACCTGGACTGAATGAGTGGAGGAAGGAGTATCGAGACTGCTACGACTCTTTGCTTGGCATCGCCGCTCCCTGCTTCCATCGCCTCTGCACCGACCTCATGCATGCAAGTGATGATAAGAATCCCGTGGACCTCGGAAAGCTTCGCAGGCACTTTGACTTGGAGTCCTCCACCCTCCTGACGTCTCCTCAGTCCGTCTTCACCACGTCCTTCATGAATCTCTTCAACTACCGCTGGGGATTTCTCGGACCACACAGAGACCGATGTCTCGTCACAGTGATCTTCACCATGACGGAAGAGCGCTGCTCTAAGAGGCTGTGGGCGAGGCGAGTATCGGACGGAATGCAGGGTGAATGGTTTGATGTGGACAAGCACACAGACTCCTCGAGAGTGATAGTATTTGCGGGAGAAGAGATGAACAAGCTCACTGATGGCTTCATACCCGCCATAGAGCATTCTGTTGGAGAGGAGGCGGGAAACAACGTGAATACTTTGAGCATTGAAGGTGAAGACATGGTGCTGTTGGTCATACGCTGACACTCGTCAAGGTGACAACAGACTGTCTGCAGCCCTCGTCTTAAGCGCACCCTTGAAGGAGCGGTGAGCGTGAGTTCACACCAGACCGCACTTCGTTATCTCGACACGACGAAGAAGCTTGCCGGGAAATCTGCACAAGACATGAGCTCGATCGACCAGAGGAGAGGGACAGGGACAGGGACAGGGAGAGGGACAGGGGGAGGGAGGGGGTTTGGCGGGGGGGGGGGGGAGAAGCAGAGAGGATGGTACGTATTGGTGACTCTTGTGTCTCCTGACACCTTCGCAACATTCCTAAAGAACTCTCGCTGCGCCTATCGCAACCAGTTCAGCATCTCCCCTCCCGAATGCTGAAGGTCCAGCATCTATCGCATCACCTTCCACCAGGAGTCTGCTGGACTCCCCTCAGGATCCAGAGATTTCCTGCAGGAAAGCTGAACAAAAGCTGAGGGCTATCGCCTCTCACCCAGTGACAAACGGCAGTTTGACAATCTCCTGCACGTACTCTTCCCCAGCTATGACCTCTCCGAACACCTGCTGCCTCCCTCAGACCAGCCCTCACCGAGCTGCATACCCAGCTGACCGTGTTGGAAGCGTCCAGCTCGGGGGTAGGAGAAAGGGTGATGTCAAACTCAGGGCCAGGGTTGAACTTGCTGAGCGAGGGAGGTCAGAGGGTCTGACGATCAAGCATGGAAGGGCTACCGATGGGACAAGAGAAGCTTGCGGTCATGCCGCAAGCTGTTCGTTTCAAGGATCTGGATAAGTGCGTGAGGTGTTCCTCCTCCTCCTCCTCCTCCTCCTGCTCACCGGAACTAGCGGCACAACTCGGCCATTCCACTGGAACGTTTCCTGACCTGCCACCTGCACGAGCAAGTGAAGAAGCGGAGATCAGGACCAGGACGGATGACCTGAGTGGTAGAAAGTCCGTTGATTCTTCCCCCTTCTATCCATCTCCCAGCCTCGTGTCTGTCAAGTCTCTTCAGTTGACCGCCAACTCTCTTTCTTCTCCCACCTGTAAAACATCCCCGACGAGTAGGCAGGGCCCTCACCATAGCTGGCTGTGACGAACTTCAAGAAGTGTTGGACTGTCATGGGCGACTGCTTCCCGTACCTGTTCCACGACCATCAGACCTTCGGGACCTCCCGCGCCCTCTCACAAGCCGAAGACGATCCTGCCCCTCAGCACTCCGTCCTCGAGAACTTCTTTGCTGTAGTCTCGGATAATCCTTACATCCAAGTACACTTTGCTCGTTATCTCTCCTCGCTCCCCCTGCATGCCATACTTCATTCATCTTGCTGCCTGCTCGCTTCATGGCTCTCTGCCTTCGCTTCTCACCCCTTGGACTGGCGAAGATTCGATTTCCGGGGGCACCCAAACTTGACAGTTCTGTCCTCTGCTGCCCCGACACACTTGAGAGATTTCTTTCCCGTTGATCTGCGAAGTCTGCGACACATTATCCACAGCTTCCTTCCTCCAGTCACTTTCCAACCTTTCCCCCCAGCCCTAACTTGCTCTCAACGCTGATACCCTCCCCTGCCTGCGCTTCTCTGCTCGCCACACCTAGATAGCATCAGATCTTCGCTCCTTCCTCTCTGTCCGACACACCTAAGGTGGACAGCGAGGCTAGGGAACGCAGAAGGAAATCTCTCCTCGAGTCCTCCCTGCCTCACTTTCACGTTTCACTCAGAGTCTGGCACCATCTCACCTTGACGAAGATCCTTCGTTGATCATGCTGTAGGTTTGAAAGTTCCTCGCATATGCACGAGGTAAGTTACAGCGGATTGGTTGCAACAAGAATGCCGAGCAGGTGCGAACGAAGACGAAGCAAGCAACAGTTTGCACGACATGACGTGCGTTTGCTCCCTTCATGGTCTGCTTCTCACTTCAGTTTTGAATCAGAACAATGCTCCATTCCAACTCTCTTTCATCTGGACTTGGAGTTCTGGACTGTGCTCGATCCCTCGTTCCCTTACCCTTCTCTTCCTCGATCCCTCGTTCCCTTACCCTTCTCTTCCTCGATCTCTCGCTCCCTCTCGCTCCTTCATCCTACTCGCTCCCTGCTCCTTTATGAGACCTTGCTCGCCGGACACAGGGCCTGGTATTATTGAGTTCCTGGGATCGGACCAGGCGCCGCGGACCCCGCCGGGCCCGGCCCGGTCCGACGGTCGGAGAGGGCCTCCGAGTCCCGGACTCACCTCAAACAGTCACATCAACTTTCCCTATCTGGATTCAAAGCAGATAACCATAGAGGTCGATATAGGTTACGGTTCTTGTAACTAAAGTTAACTAGGTGCTCTCTAGCCGCCGCGCAACTTTCACTTGCAAACAGCGGCGCCGGGCGGGCGCGCGGCGGCTTCTTACATGAGAATTTCTTGCTCCTCTGTCGCACCATCCTGCTTCTCGTCAGCAAAACTTAATGCGAGGTTAACTGAGCGCTCGCTCACCTGTGGAGATGGGATCTGTGAAGTCTCTGCCGCACCGCTTGAGTCTTGTTTGACTTCAGGTGTCGATGACGCCTGGGTTGGGACTTCGCTCGAAGTCTGGGATTTCGATGACTTGGAAGAAACTTTCGAACCTTCATCTGCCTTGGATGACTTTTGCGACGACGATTGGGTAGAGCTGGGCTCAGAAGGCTCCTGCTGTGGTGTTGCAGCAGGATTGGGAGGAGGAGATGGTGGTGGTGGTGGTGGTGGAGGAGGAGGAGGTGGTGGTGGTGGTGGAGATGCGCGTGATGGAGGAGGGGGAGGAGGCGAAGCAGGGGGAGGGGGAGGGGGAGGGGGAGGGGGAGGGGGAGAGGTAGGAGGAGGAGGAGGGGGAGGGGGAGGGGGAGGGGGAGGTGCGTTTTTCTGCATCTGGACTCTGGCCTCCTGAAGGAAGGGTGAGGAACTGAGACTGGAGTGCTGTGCTCACCTCGATGCGTTTCTGCGGGGCCTTGTGAACGCCCTCAGGGAAAGGGGTGACGTGAGTCGCTGACTCCAGCCCAGGGCAAGGAGGGTCGACCCCGCAGATTCCATCCTCGTCATGCACATGCACGCCGTGGAGCTCCGTGATGCGATGGTGCGGCACTGTAGGAGCAGGTGAGGAGCAGAGCACAACACCAAGAGCTCGAGAACCGTTGTAGATGGTTGAAGCAGTTGCGATTCCCATGAACTCCCCGTAGTGGTAGACCTTGAACGTGTTGTGGTCGCCGAACTCTTGGGCGTGCATCCCCTCCAAGACAGCCTTGCGGGCAGACACATGGTGGAGCAGGTAGAGACCGTCGCCTTTCAGACTGGAGCAATTCAGAGATGGTCCTTCAACAAGCCAACACCCACCTCTCTAACTTCTCCCGACGCTGCCGCTCTTCCTCTTCCGCAGCTTTCCTGCGTTCTGCAGCCAGCCTTCTATTCCGCTAGTTGAAAGTTCAATAAAGGATCTTACCATAGAGGAGAGTGCACGCACCTGGTCTTCAGTCTCAACGTCTCCAGATCCTTGCGATCGAGCCTTCGTCAACGATTCAGTACATGAGGCACAGGAGCAAGGCAGCCCATCACCTGGGCCGCCATGCGTGCTTCCTCTTCAGCCTTCTTCTTTGCTTCTTCCTACATGGACATCAGAATCTGTGCGCTATCCAGAAAGTCCATGCTACTTGACGAACTTTTTCTTGTTCAGCAGCCTTCTGGGCAGCAGCTTCCTCTGCCTTCTGTCGAGCAATCGCCTCCTGAAGCAGCAGCATCAGGCTCGAACACTGGAAGTCCTAGGAACAAGAGAGGCATGTTCACCCGCGTTGCTTCAGCTTGTTTCATGTACTCCTGCCGCATCCGATCAATTCCAAGTCATCCACCATGCTCGACCCACCTGCTGTGCCTTCGCTTCTTCCTCGGCCCTCTTTGCCTCCTCCTGCTCTGCAGCCTTGCGGATGTTTTCTTCTTCCTAGCATTCTATGAGCATGTGCGTGTCGGAGCATCATTCTCACATCTCGCTTCTTCTCCTCTGCCCACTTGGCCTTCAGCTTCTCTGCTTCGTTTTTGGTGGTCGTGAATTCCTCCAAGCGCGAGGCCGGAGCTTCCTCGAATGACGAGCCCTTGGCAGTCGCAGCCTTCTTCTGCCAACTCTAGATCACATTTAAGAACACCCGTAGCCTCGACTTACCCTCCTGCCTTGCGCATCGGCGGAACATATAAGGACGAGAAGCAATGCCAAGAGCAGAGCAAACTTGGTAGTAACCATCCTCTGATGATTGAAGAGATCCCCCCCCTTCAATCCCTGGATAGGATCCAAGTTCAGCGAAATCAAATCAGATCAGATCAAGCAGAAAGAAACGCACACTCGTATTTTGAGCGCGAAGATATACTCTTTCAGTTAATCCACTGCCTAAACATTCCTTTCCCCGTTGTATCCTCACTTCCCGGATTCCTCGTCTCTTCATTGAATAGCCCATCTCTCCCTCCTCCCTGTTTGCATGCCCATCATCTCCTCTTCCTCTCCTCTTCCTCTCATGGCTCCCCCTCCTCCTCCCTCTCCATCCTCTGCTATCCATGTCGATTCATATTCATACTACGACCACCTGCCGCTCCTCTCACCCCCTCATCCCCACTCATCAGGCTCTCCGGACCTCGGCCGGACTCCACTGAGGCTCCGACCCACCAGCTCCGACCGTTCGGCAGTCCGTCCGGCCCGGACCTGCGGCGGCCCGGCCGGTCATCCGGATGATGGCAGGGTGACAGGGCTTCGCCGGCGGCCGCTGACCGTCTCTGAGTCGAGGAGGCTTGACCCTGACACTGTCGCACAGGCAACACTCCCTGTTCCAGCCCTGCACTGCCAGCCCTGGCAGGCTCGACTGCCTGCCGCTCTGGGGTCCGAAGTTTTGTGGAAGTCCATCTGTGGAGCAGTGCTCGCATGCCATGGACAGAGCCGCAGCCTGACAGAGTGCTCGAAGACTCGGTGAGTTGGGGGATGAGGGGCCACTGAACGAAATGCGGCTAATGAGCTTGGTGGGGCTGCTGGGGGTTTGCTGGGAAGCAGCAGCATGGCGGGGGAGGAGAACAGACGAGCTCGAAGCTCTGCTGCAGGAAACGAAGCCGTCGGAGACCGTGACGATGAGCTCAGAGACAGGCGGAAGGATCCCCTCCGGAGAGAGCATGGCGGCTGTGGTCATACCCGAGGGGCGAATCGTTCGGATGTCAGGAGTGCTGCTTGCAGGAGGTCGAGGAGAGCGACCGATACATGTCGATGGCGGGCATCTTGAAGTTTTTGACTGCATGCTCGAGGGATACCGCAACGATGCTCCCATCCTCCTGATCTGGGGGACGTTGGACTGCTTCAATTGTTCGTTCGTTGGGAACCATGTAAAGGACGCGGGCGGTGCCATCAAAGTTCTCAGCGGAAGTTTGAACGTGGCATCGTCGGTCTTCTACAACAACTCGGCTGATGCAGGAGGAGGAGCAATCTTCCTGTCAGGGTCTTCGAAGACCAACATCACTGACTCTGTTTTCAACAACAACTCTGACCATGGCAAGGTTGTACAAAGATCGTTAATAGAATCGATTCTCACTCGTGTGCCGACATAGGATTCTTGCGGCGGAGCAATCCATCTAGACTCTAATGTGTCGGCACAAGTATCTCTTGCTTGCTGCCCGATTCTCTTTATCTGATTCGCTCTGAAAGCTCTCGGTAGAACGTTCGAAGTTCAATATGAATGCAGCCCATCGCGGAGGAGCGATCTGCTTGAAGACTTGTGATGGGGGTGAGCGTGCGATGCTGCGAGACTGCTCTTTCGATGGCAACGAGGTATCTCAATCGCCACTGCTCTTGGTGCGCCGAGGATTGAGTTGTGTAGGCAAGGGATAGTGGAGGGGCGGTGAACGTAGAGGAACGTTGTCATGCTCGACCAGAGGATGACGGATATTTGGAACAAGCTCGTCCTCACCGCCTCGTGGTCCATTCGTCTTCGTTTCACTGCAATCAGGCGGACAACGGAGCTGGCATGGCGATCCAAGGTGAACCTACTGGCGGCCTCGGTATGGGCGCAAAATGACAAGGGTGAAAGATGCTGCTGCGCACGTGACCCGCTCTCTCTTCTGGAGGAACGAAGCGAGGTATGAAGGGGGTGCCATGATGTTCAGACACTCCGACAGGCACGAGACGTCGAGCGTTCCTTCTCTCGTTGAATCGTGCAAGTTCGAGCACAACGTGGCGCATGATGCGGGGTCAAACCTACGTTTCTCGGACAGCAGGAACCTCCGGTTGGACGGGAACTCATTCAGCACGGAGAACTGCGATGGCGACGAGGAGCAAATTCACGGTTTGTTGTGATGAACCTGTCAAGTCGAGCTGAGAGAGGATAAGACGAGGGGAGAGGTCCACAGCCCAGACCAAGCATTTTCGTTTCTCTGGCTTCTTTCCGTGACGAGGTCAGTGGCATGTGATTTCAGAATCTACCTCGTGAAGACCATGCAGGATTGTTCGCGCACGACGCTGGACCTGTTTCTGACAGCCAGAAGTCCTGCGCGAGTCTTCGTCGGTATCGTGATGCAGGTCATGAGCAGACGCGAACTGCTGCCTTGAAAATATATTACAGCATCACTCTTCTATCGATGGACATTGCCTTTCGCTTCTCTCCCTCATGGTCTTTTCGCTTCCCTCCTCTCCTCCTCTCCTCCTCTTATCTTCTCCTCCTCTCCTCCTCTCCTCCTCTCCTCCTCTTATCTTCTCTCGTCTCCTCTCGTCTCCTCTCGTCTCCTCTCCCATGACCTCCTCTCCTCCCCTCTCCTCTTACTTCTCGCCTCTTTGTCAGGCCCCGCAATGGGTCAAGAACGTGCGGATGCTCACAAGAGATCGTGAGTCTGCTTATTGCTCGTCCTCCTCTCTCAGGCTCTGCGCTTGTAGCCAAGACCTCCAAGGGGCCTGTCGTCGCTCGCAACTTGTCGCAGACAATGTGAACCATGTTGACATCAGCTGGGGTTGAGCTGGGAAAGCAGGCTGAGGGATGAGACGTACTTGCTTCAGATCGACAGTCATATGAGGTCTGCTTCTCTTGCGAGCAGCTCCTTGTGTGACTCAAGTCTCAAGGTTCTCATGCGCGTGGGATGAAAAGCTGATCAGCGTCCTCCTCTCCCTCAACGACTCCCTCGGTGTTGTCACCTGCTACCCCCCGTCTTACGATCCGCTCTCTCCATCTCAAGCACATGAGCAGTGAGTGAAAACATGCCGTCTGACCTTGAGGTGAGGCGTTGCAACAGGCCATCGAAGCTGCGAGCCTCTCACTTCGATCCGGTGAAGGGCTTGTCTTCTTCTCTTGGCTCTATCCTCCTCTTTGCTTCTCTTTTCTCTTTGCCCTTGCCCTGACTTTCTTCTCCTCCTTGTGACTGCTGCTGAAGAGCGACGAGATTCTGAGAATCTCTTCCGTCGATCTTCCAACTGAGGAATGGTGAGTCCTGCCAGGCTTTCTTTCCGTCTCTCATCCTGTCGCCACGAGCAGCACCGGGAGATTCTCCGCGCCCTCCTCTTTCTGGGTTTGTCGCTCTCGTCCTTCTCCTACAAGATGATCGCGTTCAGGCGGCAGGCTTCAGTTTCTCACGAGCTCAACTTCGTCGTCTGGTGATGAGAGGAAGAGGAGGAAGGGAGGGAGGGGAAGGGGGAGGAGGATCTGAACTCTGAGTAGGTGACCTATGATGCGACGCTCGAAGGTCTCTTCTGGGGCGAAGAAGTGAGAGCGACACGAGGCAGAGGAGAAGCTGAACGTGTGAGCTGCCAGACGATCATGGCGGTGAGGATGTGGACGCACGGAGCAAGTTTCTACGCGCCATGCCACAACATCGTCTGGCATCGATGGAGGAGGTGAAGGTTGCATGTATATCAGCGCAGCTCCTCAAGTTGTTCTCCCGCACTCGCAGGGATTATCGTCCTGTCTACTGGAAGGACGGCGACGTCAAGGCGATCCTTCGATCCGCAAGGCTATCGACCTCCAGGTCCTTCCTGATGCTTCTGCCTCTTCTGCCTCCTCTCACCAGACTCTTCCAGAGTTGTTCGTCTGCTCAGCAACGGCGAGGAGGACGAGGAAGCAGCTGCTATGTTTGGAAGCCGCAGGAGCGCGAGATCGTTCGAAATTCATGTCAACGTTTCGTTTCGGTATCGAGCCGTCGGAGCTCGGGCGCTCACTGGGGATCCTCCTCCTCCTCCTCCTGCTCATAAGGGTGAACTCAAGTAGTCTTGCCCTGCTCTGCCGACTTCTCCTCCTCCTTCTCCTTCTTCTTCTCCTCCTTCTTGTCCTTCTTCTTCATGCTCCAGAACTTGCGTCGCTTGCGAATGTTGTCGCCCATGGGAAATCCGTTCTTCCATCGGCAGTCGAGGTACTCGCCGTCAGTCCAGAAGTAAACGCCGTTACCGTCGAAGAGGTTGTAACGGAACTCCCCCTGGTACCTCTCCCCGTTGGCAAACACGTAGACGCCTTTGCCATGGCGCTGCCCGTCGAGCAAGTCACCCTCGTAGTGCGGGAAAGTCAGCTCCCCCTCCTCGCTCCTCCTCCTGTTGTCGTAGGGGGGGAAGATCTCTGTCCCCTTCCCCTCCCGCAGGTGATCCACCCACTGACCAGAGTAGACCTGCCCGTTGTTCCACTGCTCCATCTGTCAGAGAGGTCACATGAGCAGGATACTCTCACCGTTCTCATGCCCTGCCCGTTGTACCTCCCCGCCACCGCTGCTCCCTCGTAGACTCCGAAGTCTGTCGTGTCAGTGATCAACGACCCGTCCTCCGCCCCTCCCTCCTTCTTCTTCCTTCTCTGCCCCTCCAGTCGCGAGGGGAAGTCCAGCTCCTCGTTGGGGTTCTCTCCATGGAAGATGAGCAAACCCTCGTCGCTCACGACCTTCTGCGCTTCTCCTTCGCGCAGCGGCTGCATCAGCTCCATCCCCCGCCACAGGAACTTGTTGGCGTCTCCTGGGCATGGTCTGCTTTCCTCTACCAACGACTGCCAGAGCTCGGGGTCCGCTACTCCCTTCCACACTTGACCTCCCACCATGTGCACGGGCCCTCCTGCTTGCACCCCCTGCTCCACCTCCAGCTCTGCTGACTCACTGGCGACCTGCCCCACCAACTTCTTCCCTCGCTCCATGCTGATGCCTTGAGTTAGCCCTGCCCTCTCCGCGATCCTCTTCATGAAGTCTTTGGTATCGCGTGACAACTTCTTTCCCCCATCCTCCTCCTGCTCCACTTCCTCCTCCTCCTCCTCCTCGCTTTCCTCGCTGCTCAAGTCATCATCTATCCCGCTGTACAAGATCTGACCGTTATCATCGTCCACTATCGTGTAGACTGTCCTCCCCTGCTCATCCTCCGTCTTGAGCGGCTGCAACACTCGCCGACCCTTCCACGCGAACACATCCTCCTCCCCCTCGATCTCTTGCGACTCCTCGCTAAGCGACTTCCACAGATCGCCTCCGTCGCAGGCTCCCTCGTAGACCACCTGCTGCGACAGGTAGTCCACCACCCTCACCGGCGTCCTCACGCTCCCGTTGGGGGTCATCGTATCAGCTGAGTACCTCGGCATCTGAAGGATCCTTCCCTTCCACATGATGAGACACTTTCCCCCGTCCTCCTCCTTCTCCTCTTCCTCCTCCTCCAACTTCACGCTCCTCTTCACTTCCATCGTCTTCAGGATCGCCGGGTCCACCGGCTTACCTTGGAGCACGAGAAAGCTCCACTTCACGCGCACCTTCTCACCTCCGATCATGAGGGAGTAGACCTTGTTCGACGCGCTCTCCCCGCTGTAGTAGCTCCATGCCGACACGCTCGAGCGTTTCCTCATCCTGCCGATCTTCTCCCCATGCTGCTCAGCCATCTTGTACACTCTCACTGCTGCCCACATCTTAGCTCGGATTCGCTTCCGCCGCTCGCTCTCGTCTCGCTCTACTCGTTGTTTTGCTTGCTCTTCTTTCTCGGTAATCGTCTTCTCCAGCTGGTACAGCTTCTCATCGAAGAGCTTGCACTCGTACACAGCACATCTCGAAGTTTGATCGGGGGCTGCCAGCACCCAGTCTGATATCTTCATACTTTTGCGCAGAGCGTCATAGCTCTCGATCTTCGCTCTCTGTCCCTTTCCCATCCCATTCGTGATCACAAGCGTCTTCCCGGAGAAGAAATCTTCACCAGGAGCACTCGCAGAGAGGCTCAGCTCTCCCTCAGCTGAAATCTTGGAGCACCTGCCCTCGAGCGGGAGCTCGATGGTCTTACCGGCGCGGTCGGAGTAGTGGAGCTTGTAGAGGCTCTCTGCTGTGGGGATACTCGTCTCAAGGTCGTTGTCGTCCTGATCCAGCGCCTGCTCCAGCCAGCTCTTGTCCCACTCCCACCCGTCGATCACCGCCACCCGCGTCTTCCCGTTGTACTCCAGCACCTTAGCTCGCTGCGACTTCCCCGGGCCCTTGGTGATGCGGAGGATCATGTGCCGGTAGCAGTTGTCCTCCTCCTCCGCGTTCTCCGACAGCATCACTGTGGTCTTGGTGGCTCGTTGCACGCGCCCGTGGATGTGGAGGGGAAGGAAGTGAGAGTTGAGCACCCGGTAGCTGGACGTCTGGTCGCATGTCGCCGCGTACCACCGGAAGAGTTCTACCTTGTGCTCCTCCTCCCAGTGACCGCTGATGGTTCCGAACTGACCCTTGCCGACCCCTTCCTCCACCACCAGCGTCTGCTTCACATACGAGACGTCGCTCGAGGTCGCTTGCCGTCGATCGGAGGGCTGGAGGAAGGCAATGGTGCCCTCCACCTTGTTGACCTTGAAGTGACGGACCTGATGTGAAAACAAATCCTTCACTTGCGTCCTCGCTTGTTTCAGCGCAATCTGCGCTATCCGCAAGGCAGGGTTTGGGCCGAACTTGCCGTCTTTCTGCTTAAGGGAAGGCTGAGATGAAGTGATACGGATGGCAGCTTCGCAGTCTTTGAGGGATCTGTTGTAGTTTGCTGTCACCAGCTCCCTCTCCTTCCATTCACTCTGAATCTTGACAAACATTTCTTCCGGGTTGTCATACTTCCCTAACTTGACTTTCAGTTGCTTCTGCCGGTGAAAGTCTCGCAAGACATTCTCATCGCTAGAGTGCGTGAGGTCCTCGAAGGCGATCTCAGTCTCTGCCTTCACTTCCTCGTGCTCCTCGGCAACCTCCTCGCTCGCCATCACCCGAGGCTCAAGTCTCAGCATGCTCATCATTGTGCTTCTCCGTTGAGCCGCGTACTGCGATCGAACTTGGTCCATCTCCTTCCCCAGCGCCTCCTCCACCTCCTCGTCCCAGATCTCCATGTTGCTCACTGCCACTCTCAGCTCGGCTCCCTCCCCCTTCCTCACCGCTCCATCTCGTTCCACCTTGTCCAGCTTCACCTTGTACATGTCCCCAAAGTCTGCGATCACAGTCGCCAGCTGCCCGTTGTAGTTCCTCCCCCCCACCCGCGCGACGTTGCGGAGCTTGACCCGGACGCCAGGTTCCAACATCTCCAGCAGCTCCCATGTCCGCCTGAGGTAGCGTCTCGTCACATGCTTGCTCCTCCTCCTTCGCCTTACCTGGCCTCCTTCTCCTCCACCGCTCGCCTCTCGTTCCTCCTCTTCTCGAGCTGCGCCTGCACCATTCGGATGGGAATCCCAACGAACTTCCTGCGAGAGAGGATCTCCAAGGTTGAGAACCTTTTCTCCTCAGGCGGCGCCTCATGCTCGACTGGGATGTTGTCCCCGTATTTGGCTTTCGCTGCTGCTGCGTTTCGACGGAGGAGCGCAGCTTTGAGACGATAATCTCGTTCCCTCCCTCCATCTTTGTCGGGTGGATTGGCCGGCATAACCTCTAGCTCTCTCCTTGGCTCACATTCGCTCCTCCCCTCCCCTCCCTCCCGCTCCTCCTGCCGGTAGCAACGCCATGCCCTCCCTCCAGGCTCCGGTCCCTCAATTTACTGCCAACTGCCGCCCCCGCCTCCCCTTTTTACCCCCCTGCTCGCACTGCCCGACTGGCCCTCCCCGTCTCACCCTCCCCTTCCTCCCCTTCCCTTCCTCCCCTCCCCCCCCTCCCCTTTCTTCTCCTCCCTTTCCTCCCCATCCTCCCCTTCATCCCCTTCCTCCCCGTGAGCTCGCGCGGTGGCATGCGACGGAGATCACAGAGTGAGGGCTCGGGCTCAAGGGAGTGTGTTCACAATGCAGCAGATGAGGAGCAAGACAAGGAGAGTCAAGACACTTGCTCCATCCGTTCCCTCTACCATGAGATCGACGCTCTCTTGGAAAAACGCGAGCAGGATTCACTAGCAGACGACATCAACAAGGCCTTCTGTCAATCGCTCACGCCGGAATGGCATCTGCGAGACAAGAGAAAAGTGCTAGTGAGCATGAGCTGCTTGCTTCTGAATGTCGTTTTAGCTGCAGGCACTTGTGCAGCAAGTCGAAGGCTTTCAGTTCTATTCTTCATTGCAAGACAAAGATCAAAACCAAGCTCTCTGGTTCAAAGTAGAGCAAAAGCCAATCTGAAGCTTATTGTGACATGCTCTCAGCTGTTGCAGAAATGTACATTCTATCACAACCTGAGGAAAGATGAATTTCTTCTTAACAAGGTAAGTCCTACAGGAATCAAACATGTCTTGATAGACCTGCAGGACGAGGCTTGTGATTTCCTCGACATCATTGTCTATGGCTCAGTGCGAGTGGAATGCAGAGGAAAAGGAGGCGAACAAGAGGCCGAGCAACATCTCCTCCTCCCGGGCGACGCGTACGGGAGCCTGCAGTCAGACGATGGTCAGGCATCACCTTCAGAGGTTCAAGTCTTTCACGATCAGAGCGGTTCCTTGACTCCTCCCTTGTGCTCGCGTTGAGGCTGGTGGGTCAGGGGTGGTAAGGATATCGAGGGAACTCTATCGCTCCTGCTGCTCGGACCTGGTGTGAAGCTCTTGGAAGCTTCCGCTTCTTCTGACTGCACCCGTGCAGGTCAAGGAATACTCCTCCTTCCTCAGATCCACCAAGTTGTTTGAGAAGGTCGAAGAGGAACAGCTTCAGAGACTTGTCGATGCGACCAAGGAACCAGCTGCTTGCCTCTGCTTCCTCCTTACTTCTTAGCAGGTCCGACACTGCAAGGCTGGTGAGGTTGTTGTGAGAGAAGGAGACTCTCCGTCCGAGTTCTTCCTCATCCTCCGAGGGATGGTAAGTCTCCTCCAGCGGGTGCTGACAACATGACGTCGCTGCTCTCAGTGCCGAGTGATCAAGAGGATAAGCAAGGAGGATCCTCCGCGCAGCAGCATGTCCAGCCCGAGCAACGTGAGACCCGCGTCCATGTGCATGACAATCAAGGGTGTGTCCTCCAGGCAAGAGCGAAGGGGATGGAGGAAAACGAGCACGCGAGGAGAAGCGACGGGTCTATGGGGATCAAGCGGTGAGGGCAAGGAAAGGGTTGCCTTACGTGACGGAGAGACCGGACAGGAGCAGCAGTCAAGCGCCCGCGGGTTTGAGCAGGAGGGAAGGAGGGGCGAGGACGGAGCTAAGGATGCCTGCGAGTCCGACGTCCCTTGAGGTTGTCGACATCTCAGCATGCAGTCGCTCACAATTGGGATAGAAGTACAGGAGAGCGACAAGGCATGTCGAACTTCGGCAGCTGCTGAGGGTACTGTACCGACACACGCTCCTCTCTCTGTTGAGCTCGTCCCCAGGGAGACTTCTTCGGGGAATGGTCGATGATCCACAAGAAGCGAAGGTCAGCTACTGTCGTCGCATCGGTAACACTCGATCTACATACCATCAAATCTGCTCCTCTTATCCTCCTCTTGTTCGATTTACACGTGTGGCAGTATGAAAGCGAGTTGCTGGTGCTTTCAAGATCGTCGTTTCTCAAGCTTGTGGAGGGAGGGTTGTCAGAGCGATTGAAAGAGGTATATCACTGAGACACCTGAGCAAAACCTGATCGAGCGACCAGCTATGTGACGACATGGAATACTTGTTCGATGACGACGACATTCGAGAAGACCTCAGACGGAACATGATGTGGGAGGATTACAGGAGCAAGGCAGTACATGATTGCGTGTATCATTTACAGAAATAAACAAACCACCCTCTTCTCGCTATTCCGTTCACAAAGACTCCGATGCCAGCAGGGCTTCTTCGCATTCCACACATTCCTTGAGGGCCTGCAACAACATGAGCGATACGGAGGAGCGACGGGCTTGCTCCACCTTCTCCAGGGTGCTGTTGCTCTCCAAGAACCTTCTCAGAGCGTCCTTGAGCCGGCTGCTCTCTTCGTTGTAGATCACTTTGAACCTCGACATGACATCCTGTCTGTTGTCAGCCATCCCTTTGTTGAGATCCGGGTTCAATACCTGCAGCCTTGTGTATTCATGCTCCTGAACAGATGTCAACTCACCATGCTTGCCCCCGCCTGTTTGTCTTCCAACGTGTCAGACGTCTGATAGCTATTCAAAGCTCACTTCACACCTAATCTCGTACATCTCTTCTTGTGCCAGCAATCCAAGATGCGGCGTTCTGGTATCCTTCTTTTGCTGTTGCTCTAGCATGTTGCGGCTGCACATGAATCATATTCCAAGAAATGCTTCACGCATTGTCCTCTACCGTGTCATCAATTCGTCGCGCAGGCGTGCTATGTCATCGCCGTCATGTTTGCTGCTACCGATGGGAGGGGTGAACATCTCTCCTCCAACCTACAAGCAGACTGAGTGACGCGCAAGAGGCGAAGTTGGAGGAAGCATGCAGCAGACAACAAGTGATGCGTTCATGTATGTATGTATGCTCCACGGCAGCCTCCGAGTTTCATTTCTCTTCCTCACTCCCTGTGACCGCATATGCCGGCCGATGCCATGATCGTATCGTATCATGACCGCATCTCCTCTCCCACTCCCGCTTCTCATCTCCTCCGCCATCATCCCGTTACCCATCCCGTTACAGTCAGCACAAGACCCGGTAAGGCCGCCGCCGGTGTTGATGTCCCCACTATTGTCCTCGTACTGATTTTTAACTTAACTTTGAGTAAAACTAAGAGAGTGTCTCTTCTGCCGCCAAGAGTTAAAAAGCCCTTTTAGCTTCACTACCCCACCCCATTTGCCTGTTTTATGTCTACCCCCGAGATCCACTGGAAAGTACCCCTCTTATGACTGGCTGTGACAGTCCTTGAATCAAAAGGACCCCTCCATGCGCTTGGCCCCCAATTCCGATATACACTACCCTACCCTATCTAGTCTAGTAAAGTGGGAGATATAGGGGTGAGGACTACCCCCTTTTAAAAGAATTTTGAAGGCAAAAATGGATAAATGCAACAAACATGACGGGGAGGGGAATGGAGGGAGGGGAGGAGAGTATAGGGGAAGGGAGAGGAGAAGGAGAGGGGAAGAAGTCGAAATAGAACAAGTAGATGCATCAGGCGAGGGAACGCAAGGCGAGCCAGGCGGGCTGCTTGATGCAGCTGCAAGCACACGAAGAGCAAACGAGATGAGATTGAGGGGAACTACATGGAGAGCTGATGATGATCTGAACAGGATGTCAAGCACCGTCGGGTCTGTTACCATCACTCAGAGAGCACCAGAGAAGAAGGGCTCTAGCAAAGGCGCGGAATTCCGAGCTGTAAACTCTTGTTTGACCGGATGATGTTGCATGCTCATTCTGCTGCAGGTAGATCCGCCGCCATGGGCTTCCGTGTCGATCATCGCGATCGTCGTTACATCTTTCAGCCTTGCGTTCTACATCACTCCGATGTACTTCACCAGCAGAATTTGCGGAAACGGAAAAGGCAGCCCAGTTTGTACCAGCGAGTCGGTAGCTTCAGCTTATGGCGGGCTCGAAGGAGCCATCGAGGTGGTGAAGGCATCGGGATCGCCCGACTACATTCTAGCATGCATTCCGTAAGCACGTACTCCATTGCTTCCGGCAACATGTTTGTCACCTCTGTATTTCAAGGCTCTTCCTTGCGATGATTCTCGCCGAGATGGTGATCTCCGTAGCTGCTGGTTTGCAATGCGTTGGAGGACGATACGACATGTCCGACACCTGGTCGTCATTGACGGCAGGGACCACCCAACAGATGTCTGTAGCCTTGGTGCGATGCGATAGAGTCTGACAGGCTCGTGCACATGTTAACTTGTTTCGTCTCAGATCAAGGCGCCGCTGAAGTTGAGCCTTGTGCCCTACTCTTACATTTACTACAACTACGGTCTTCCTTCAGGCCTCGCTCGGATGGTGAGTTCTTGCTCGAGGCCTGGCAGGAGTGACGTGCATTGCAGTTCCCAGTGGAACAGCCTTGGGTCTGGGTGTTTGGGTTTGTCTTCACTGACTTCTGCTACTACTGGTTTCATCGACTGGCGCATCAGGTCCAGATCATCTGGGCCGGCCACTCGGTCCATCATTCCTCGGAGTACTACAACCTGTCCACGGCCCTCCGGCAGTCTTGGTGGGCCACCCTCATAGGCAGCGTCTTCTACTTCCCCATGGCCTTGTTCCTCCATCCCGCCCTCTACTCGGGGCTGGATCAGGCCAACGTGGCCTATCAGTTCTGGGTGCACACGTGCCTGATCAGGAGGCTGGGGGTGTTGGAGTGGTTCTTCATGACGCCTTCGCATCACCGCGTGCATCATGATCGGAGGGTCCACAAGAACTTCGGCGGCTTCCTCATCGTGTGGGATCGCTTGTTCGGCACCTTCCTGGACGAGACCGAAGGGCTCAAGCATCTCGACGCTTCTCCTTCCTCAGAGCGCCTCCCCCAGGAGGAGGTCATGCTCTTCGGTACAGCCGCCAAGGTCAGGTCGTGGACGGACGTGGTGCTGCAGCTCCAGTTCTGGCAGCCCATCTTCGACTCCATCCGTCACTTCCGAGGCTTCACTGGCGTCTTTCGCGCGGCACTGGTGGGCCCAGGCTTCAGCACAGTGACCGCAACTCGCGCGCTCCTGCCTCCCTCCTCCAGCGCTCAGAGGATCAGGAAGCGGTCGGACTTGCCGGCAGCCGGCAAGGCCTACGTCTTGGTTCACTTCCTCATCGCAGTGCTAGCAGGCTTTGTGGTCCTGCTCTTCTCCTCCACTCCCTACCCCGTCAGGCTCCTCCTCGGGGGTTGCGTGCTGTCCTCGCTCTACTGCCAGGGGCTGCTGCTGGATGCCGAGGGGATGAAAGGCGTCAGGGTGGAGGCGATCAAGTGCTGCACGTTCCTCCTCTTCTGCGCCGCGTTCCTCTACAGCTCAGAGGAGGCGAATCCTTACTCAGAGCTCAGGACGCCGCTCGTGGTCTCCATGCTCAAGGCAGGAGCTGGAGCTCAGATCGGCTCGCTCCTCTTCCTCCTCAGCAACCATGGCGACTTCCTCCCCGTCTCCTCACGGTGATGGCGGCATCGTCAAGTTAACGCGCAAGCAAGCCGCTTAGCTACTGTCCTTCTGATGTGTTCGTTTGTATCATTAAAGCACCGAGATTCTAGTGAGATCAGCCGGACTGATGACTCAAGACGAGGCCATGGGCTGATAGCGAGGGGGAAAGAGAGGGTAGGAGGAGGAGGAGGAACATGGTGCAGTCAGCGTACTAAGGAAGATGAGACGATAGGAGGAGAAGCTCAGGGAGAAAGTCGCTTGGGGTCGCGGGGAAACCTGCGGCAGCTCGTCACAAACGCCGACATCAGCTCATCCTCACATGGACGCAAGTCGGATGTTGTCGAGCCCCAGGATCGTCATGGTCAGTCGCTCCAACCCGAGCCCGGCGCCAGCATGCGGGGAGCCGCCGTACTTGAAGGAATTGATGTAGGGCTGCGTGAGGTAGCGTCAACGAGGAGAGAAGAGCGACAAAGAGGGAAGAGCCCAAGGGCAGGGCAGGGCAGGGGAGGTTCACTGTACCCCCCACCCCCCCTCCCTAGTTTCCTCCTAATTTCCCTCTCCTGTGATACCCCACCCCCCTCTCTCTTCCTCCCTCTCTCCTTTGACCTGCATGCTCGATGGGTCGATCCCCCGGGATTTGAGCGACTCGACAAGGAGGGAGCTGTCATGGATTCTTTGCGCTCCGCTGCAGATTTCCTGGAGGAGCGTGAGGAGAGGGAAGAGCCTGCAGTGCGCTGACTTGTCCTCGGAGATAAGCGTCGAAGGAGTTGGAGGAGGAGGGGTCGGAGGAGGAGGGCATCGAGTAGAAGGGCCTTACGCCTGCCGTCTCAAGTCTCAAATGCAGGACAGTGATGGAGGAAAAGTGAGAACAAAGGGCAGCAATTTAGGGAGCAGGGAAGGAGGAGGAAGAGAAGGGAGGAGGAGAGGAGAAGGACTAGCAGCAAGAGCAGGAGCAGGAGGAGAGCCGCGGGGGAGGACCGGAAGGGAAGTCAGTGATGAAGAAGAAGTCCGTCTCATGCTTCTCCGCGACGATCTCCCCCAGCAGGCGCTCCAGCTGAGTGCTCAGGTCCTGATCGTGCCGGATCTGTTGACCCCGGAGGTCACAAGAGTCTCCGACCGAGTCACAGCAGAGGACAGGTTCTGCCTGCTGCAGGCTCCCGACAAGTCTCACCTTGGATCCATCCTCGTTAGTGCACCCTCGATCGTTGAGCAAGTCCACGGCCTCCTTGTAGGAGAGCCTCAGGTTGTCTCCCGCTCGCCTGGCGCAGGATGAGCGAGAGGGGAGGAGGAGGAGAAGTTCACGTGCCTGCAGCGAAGCCTCTTGCAGGGATACTGCTTCGCGACCTCATCGACGTGGGAGCTGAGAGGCTACAGGAAGGATCTCAGCTTGCTCAACGGGAGGGAGGACGACTGGCGACAACAAGGCAGGTTGATAGCAAGGGAAGTGGCTGGGGGAGGGTGAAGCAGGGAAGGAAGGAGGAGGAATTGAGATCCAGTTTGTGCAGGAGGGGAGCATGAGAAGGTATGTCACCGACCTGCGAATGGTAGAGCTCCTCCAGCAATGTCACCACAAAACCTTCAACGATGTCCATCGCCTGTCAAGCACCATCAGCTCTGCTGGACGTGTCCGCGAGCTCCCACCTCAGCATAGCTCTCGGAGATTTCCATCTCAAAGTCAAGGCCGACAAACTCGCACAGGTGCCTGAGGTCGTCAGAAGGGCAGGGAGGAGGGACAGTCGTTACCTTGAGGTGTGCGAGGACTCGGCGCGGAAGACGGGCCCAACCTCCATCACCCTCTCGAAGCCGCTCATGACAGCCATCTGCTTGTGGAGCTGCGGCGACTGCGCGAGCCAGGCCTTGCTGCTCACTCGCGCTCAGTCGACGTGGCGGGATGAGGAGGAGAGACAGAGTTCACCTGCCAAAGTAGTCCAGCGGGAACACTGCGGCCCCTCCCTCGCAGCTGCTTCCTCCTTGCAGCTTCGGCGTGTGGATCTCGACGAAGCCTCTTGCGGCCAAGAAGTTCCTGAAGGCCTGACCCACGTGCGACTGAATCCTCATGATACTGTTGTGTGAAGGGCTTCTCAAGTCCAGCACCCGCTCGTTCAGCCGAGTCTCCAGGTTCACAACCACCTCCCGCTGCTCTGAGTCAGCGTCTGCCCGCTGCTCGACGCTCACGTTGTCCCTCGCCTCTGACGGTCGTGCAGCATCCTCGAGGAGGAGAGGAAGAGCAGGAGCCGCTCGACTCACGCAGTAGATCCGTTGAACGTGAACCTCGTACGTGGTGACCTTGCACGAAGTGACAGTCGCCGCCACTTTCCCTCCCTGGACGTCTACGACCGACTCTCGAGGGATGGAGCCACAGAAGCGGATCATGTCCTTGGTCACGCTGTCGCTCTTGAACAGAGCCGCTTGCACCGTGACGCCCTGCAGCCGCAGCACCAGGAAGACTGTGTTTCCCTTCACTCGCGATTGTTGGACTCTCGCTCTGATCCAGAAGCTCTCCCCTTCCGGCAGCCCGTCGAGCTCGGAAGAAGAGAGATACCTCCTTGTACATGCGCTCTGTGACTTCACCATCTCCATCTCTCCGAAGAGCTCCGGACAAGGTTGATTGTCGCAGAACATTGGGATGTCTGTGGGAAATCGATGGGCCTCGGACTCGTTCTTGTCCATCTGCTTCATGAGCTTCTTCTGAGCCTTCTCCTCCTGCTTCGCCTTCTTTCGCAGTTCTCTCTGCCTCGCTACCTCTGTCGCGTTCAGGGAGGCTGTCTCCGCTTGCCTGTCGCTCCCTCCTCGCAGGCACATCCTCTCCGATCTGAGATGATGAAGAGGCGATGGCATACGAGGAGCCAGAGGTCCTGCCAGAGAGATAGCGGAGGGCGAGGAGGAGAGCATGAGAGGGGAGATCATGGCGACTAGGAATACTCTCTCTATCGCCCCCGCCATCGCCCCCGCCATCGCCCCCGCCATCGCCTTCTCTACTTCGTACAGCGACCAGGCTGAAAATCCGCTGAAAAAATTGGAGGAGATGAGGGGGTGGGTGGAACTGCTATATTCGATCTGACAGACGGGCCAACCCCTAGTGTGGGAATTAACTGGTACAAATATTTAGTTAAATACCCCCCCTCCTTTCCTCATCGCGCCTCCATGCAGAGCGTTCGGGGCACTATGGCGGGGGATTTAGGGGGTGCTGCATGCCATGGCAGGGTGTCACGAGAAAATTCAAATCAAATTTTTGGCGGGCAAAGCTATGTTGTCCCACACCATGGGCAGGCCGAGGCCTCCAGCGAAGAAAATATGCTCATCATGCCACAGACGACGAGAAATGACCAGCATTCGAAAGTGGCATGGTGTGTGTTGCTGAGATGAGAGAAATTAAACAGTTTGTTTTGCAGTTACGACAGAACCAGGCCATATGGCAAGTTCAGAAGGAGAAGACGCTACGATGCCACACGAGGAAGAGGCCCAGAGCGACCCTGAAAGAGATGTTTTGCAGGTTTCAAATATTTTGCAGACGGTACGGATATGAAGAAGTTCTTTCATTGGCCAAGCACAATGAAGAGGGGGGGGAAACATTCACTCCTTGGGAGATGGAGCGAAGAATAGCTGATGGACTAAATGACTTTGATGAACACAAGATCCGCTTTAAATTCGACGAATGGTTATCCAATCCCGTCCTCTCTCCAATTACGAACAAGTTGTTGTTTTTCTCGCCGTGCATCAATCACTTGTTGAAGAATGTCAGGCATTCCATTGGATCAGGGAAGTCTCAATCGTCTTCTACGGAAGCCCAGATATGGCATAAAGCTTACAGTGATATCGCCAAGAAGAATCCTGCTTGGATGACTCAGATGGAAGTCGACGGGACCGCCGATCCACAATCGGTGGATATCATGCTGAAGATGTTCAGTGACAAGGCCATCAGTCTACTAAAGGCAGAAGGACATGAAGCGACAGCAAGAATGGCAGAGGCTATGTCTGGCCTGCACAAAGCATTCGATGAAAGAGGGCTGAAAGTTTCAGAGAGGATACGTCTCGTTCAAGAGGGTCGAAGATGGCTATTGGAAGGCATCGACTGGACCAGTGTCAGCCAAAAACATGTCAAGGGACTATCATCTGTAACATTTGAAGGCTTCATAGTTGCAATTGATACTCATCTGCAAGTACAACAGTATGTGAGGGATAAGAATCATGCGCTGGGTGATAGAGACTATGACTTCAATTCACGAACTCTCTGCACGGATAGTGTAGAGAATCTGTGGTCGTTGATCGGCCATCTGAACAAGAAGGATTTTCTGAGAAAATTCAATCAGGCATGCATAGAATTATCTAAAAAGGTGGATCCAAACCTGCCTTTTGTATACGAGCATTCGAAGAAGCGAATTGTCCTGAGCAAACCGCACGACCGTGAAGCTTTCAATGCACGGGATGGATCTGATAATGATGTGGAGCCACACAATAGTACGCAGAAGAACAATCGAAAGCGAGTATATGCTAAATCAGGGCAATGGGATGAAGGATTAACAGGTAATATGCAACGTTTCCGGGGATTGCGTAGCATTGCTGGCTGCAAGTAGAAAAAAAGTACGTATTGTGGAAAATATTAAACACTGCTACGATGCAATTCAAATGATTGATACCATGATATAGATTTTACAATTTCCTGATAGGCTATGGTGGTTTCACGATTGTCATCATTGCACAGGCTGAATTAATCATCCTTAAACCTGGTCGCCGCCTTGCTGCCATTGCGATTTCCTGCAAACTCACCCACCCCTCCTGAAAAGGTACCCCCAAAATATCATACAAAAATACCGGTACTAGACCCTTTTATTTGGAGTTCCTCCCCCGTGATGAGGGGGACCCAGGGGTTTTATGAGAGGGGACGAGGGGCGCTCTAGGCTTAAGGGCGCGGCCTCCTATTAGACAATGCGGGAGGGAGAGGGGAGGGTGGTAGAGGAGAGGAGGGAGGAGGAGGAGAGGAGAGGAGAGAGATGGAAGGAGAGGAAGGAACTTACGTTTCGAAGAGGATGTGGTAGGCTGATGATGTCAGGATACAAGACGCGAATGAAACAAGCGTGCCAACGGCATGAGATCGAGGTCGCAGGGAGTCAGGAGAGGGGATCTTCAGCGCAGCAAGAGAGACATGAGAGAGATTCACAGAAAAAGCTATAGCGACATGTGTAGAAGCATCTTTCCCTCTACTCAGATCATCTGGCATGTTATGGTGAAGAGGGAGAGGGGCGGGGGACGAAGGAACGACAGATAGAGCTGGGAGCGAGGAGGGATGTATCTGCAAAGAGAAGGGGGGCCCTCTTGATGTGTTGTGAGTGATTCCGTATGGCAGGAGCTGATCGTCAAGGAGTTGGACATGTGGAGCAAGTGGCCTGCAGCAGCGGCTTCGCTCGCAATCGTAGCAACTCTTCTCGTACCTAGTGCAGACGCTTTCCATGCGCCTGCTCCCTTCCTCCGTCCTCGTGCGGCTCTCCGCATGACCCAGCGCACGAGCAAGACATGGAAGATGCAGGACTTCCCCAAGCCCAAGCAAGTCGATAACACGGAGAACTATCGCATCGCCGAAGCCTTGTCCTCCAAGTTCCCTGCTGCCAAGGGCAAAGCGCCTTCCAAGACTGTAGCCATCATCGGCGGCGGGCTGGCGGGCTTGTCTGCCGCCAAGTATTTGTCAGATGCTGGACATCGTCCGTTAGTGCTGGAAGCTCGAGATGTGCTGGGAGGCAAGGTGAGCGCGTGGCAGGACAAGGACGGAGACTGGATCGAGACCGGGCTCCACATCTTCTTTGGGGCCTATCCCAACATGATGAGCTTGTTCAAGGAGCTCAACATCGAGGAGAGGCTGCAGTGGAAGGTGCACAAGATGATCTTCGCCATGCAAGAGTTTCCCGGCGAGTTCACGACCTACGACTTCATCCCGGGCATCCCCGCCCCCTTCAACTTCGGTCTCGCCATCCTCCTCAATCAGAAGATGCTTTCCCTTCCCGAGAAGATCCAGTGCCTCCCCGCCCTCCTCCCCATGCTCATCAACGGCCAGGACTTCATCGAGCAGCAGGACGAGAAGTCTGTCCTCGAGTTCATGCGCCAGTACAACATGCCTGAGCGCATCAACACTGAGGTTTTCATCAGCATGGCCAAGGCTCTGGACTTCATCGACCCGGACAAGCTCAGCATGGCGGTTGTCCTGACTGCAATGAACCGTTTCTTGAACGAGGACGACGGTCTTCAGATGGCCTTCCTTGACGGCAACCAGCCCGACAGGCTGTGCAAGCCAATGGTCGACCACATCGAGAAGAGGGGGGGAGAGGTCCGCACCAAGAGTCCCGTCAAGAAGATCGTGACCAACCCGGACGGCAGCATCAAGCACCTGGAGATGCGCGACGGGTCGACGGTGCAGGCGGACGAGTACGTGTCAGCCATGCCCGTGGACGTGCTGAAGAGGATGGAGCCCAAGGAGTGGCAGAAGATGCCCTTCTTCCGTCAGATGGACGAGCTCGAGGGCATCCCCGTCATCAACCTCCACCTCTGGTTTGATCGCAAGCTCAAGGGTGTCGACCATCTCTGCTTCAGCCGCTCTCCGCTCCTCTCCGTGTACGCCGACATGTCCATCACTTGCAAGGAGTACTACGACCCCGACAGGTCTATGCTTGAGCTCGTCTTCGCCCCCTGCTCGCCTCTTGCTGGAGGAAACACCAACTGGATGACCAAGGTAAGGTTCCTCTTTCCCCTTGGTCTTCCTCCTTGTGTACCTCTCTCCTTGTCCCTTCTTTTCTCCATATGCCCTCCCTCCCTCCCTCCCTCCCTTCCTCCCTCCGTCCTTCCCTCCCTTCCTCTCTTTTGCGCTCGCTAGTTTGTCCTAATGAATTGCGTCCAGACCGACGACGAGATCATCGACGCGACCATGAAGGAGTTGGAGCGTCTCTTCCCCTACGAGATCGCTGCTGACGGTTCCAAGGCGAAGCTGCGCAAGTGAGACAATCGACGATGATGATGATAATGACGATGACGATGACGATGACGATGACGATGTTGTTGATGATGATGATGATGAGGAGGAGGAGATGGGGGTGGAGGAGGAGGAAAGTCTTCTGACTTGACTGCTTCTGCAGGTTCGCTGTCGTCAGGACGCCTCGATCAGGTTGCTACTTCTCCGCTCTCCTCCTCTCCCCTTTAGCTCCATTCACCCCTCTGATCCTCATCTCGTGGCTTACTTGACCTTCAGTTTACGCTGCTATCCCTGGAAGGAACAAGTTCCGCCCCCAGCAGCGAACTCCCATCCCCAACTTCACACTTGCCGGTGACGTGGAGTGGCTGAAACAGGCACGTGTAACGAGTCGAGCAGGCGACTGGACCTCGCAGAAGTTCCTCGGGTCTATGGAAGGAGCCTTGCTCTCTGGCAAGCTAGCAGGTGCATCCCTCCTCCCTCCCTCCCTCCCTCCCTTCCTTCCTTCCTCCCTCCCTCCTTCCTTCTCTCCTTGCTTCCCTTCCTCCCTCCTTCCCTTCTCCCTCCTTCCCTTCTGACGTCTCCTTGCAGCTGAGGTGATCGTTGACAAGGCTCTCGGTGTTGAGCCTGCCAAGTCGTTAGGAAAGAAGTCCGTCGAAAAAGAGTATCCTGACGGTGAAAACCACACCTCCCAGGCAGGTAC